GGCGCGCCGGGCGGCGGCGGCGGCGGCGGGCAGCAGAGGCGGCGGGAGCCCGTGCACCCGCCCGCCCGAGTTTGCCGGGAGTTTGCCGCTGGACTTTGGCGCCGCCCCGGAGTCCCTTCGCGTGCCGCCCGGGGACCGCGAGGCCCGGAAGAGGGGAAGGAAGCGCAGGAACCAGGGCCTTGGTCGGGGCGAGGGCTGCGCTGGGGCTGCGGGGGCGGAGTTGGCGCGCGCAGGGCTCGGGCCTTCCTCCTCCTCCTCCTGCCAGGGGGTGGGGCCACGGCTGAACCCCTTGCGTCCCGGCCCCGGGCAGCCTGGCGTTTGGTAAGGGAGGTAGCGCTGAAAAGTTGGCGTGCGTGTAAAGACACATGGGTTTCTAGTTGTGGAGCGGTCAGGGCGCAGACGCCCGACCAGGTGTGTCGTTTGCCTTCCCTCGGCCTGCGTGTGTGTGTCGCTGGGCTTTGTTAGAGGCCCAGTTCAGTTGAGATTGGAGGGGTGCAGAGAGGCTCAAGCACACGGCCGCGATTCACACCCTGCAAGCACCCAAAGGTGGGTGCAGATTTTGTCCACAGGGCCAGTCTCAGCTCTTTTTTTAAGACCTGTTGTCATGTGTCTCGCCCTACCATTGCAGAAAAATGTTCGTTGGTGGTTTGAGCTGGGATACCAGCAAAAAAGATTTAAAGGACTATTTTACTAAGTTTGGAGAAGTCGTTGACTGTACAATAAAAATGGATCCGAACACTGGACGGTCAAGAGGGTTTGGGTTTATTCTCTTCAAAGATGCTGCCAGTGTGGAGAAGGTAAGCTCTGTACTGTGTACCACAAGTCTGCTCTGCAGTGGTGGTTTAAGGGCAAGTAGAAAGGCTATGGACATTGTTTCTGAGGGGGTAATAAGAGCAGGTATATGTGCCAGAGTGGCACAGGATTGTTTACAATTGTTTACTGCACTATATTGCTCTGCCTGAGTATGCTGCTATACTTTACCTATGAGGAGAGTCTAGTATCAATGAGAATAAATGTTGAACCCCATTTTACAGGAGGAAAAAAATCTTGAAGCTTGGAGAAAATTAAGAGGCAGAGGTAGATTGTGTAGATTCCTTTACTCTTTAATCACTGCTGCTTTGTTGGAAGGACATGAGCCCTAAGCTGGTAGGCGGCACAGGCAGAGGCTTTAGGAATCAGGACTGATTTATAGGTGTTTAGGTGAAACAGCTGTGTAGGTCTGGAGAAAACTGGGTTGAGGAGTCCAAGCAGGCACATAGCTTGAAGGAGGATGAGTACATTTTGTGTACTTGAGTGCTGGAGTCGTGGGACTGAGAGAAGGTCCTCCAAGTTTATGTTGCTGTGTTTGAAACAGGTCCTAGACCAGAAGGAGCACAGGTTGGATGGCCGAGTCATTGACCCTAAGAAAGCTATGGCTATGAAGAAGGACCCTGTGAAGAAAATCTTTGTAGGGGGTCTGAATCCTGAAGCTACAGAGGAAAAAATCAGGGAATACTTTGGCGAGTTTGGAAAGGTGAGTCTCTAGAGGAGGAGCAGCTTGCTAACTGTCCTGAGGCACTTGTTTTCCTGGCTCAGGTAGCCTGACCACTCACTTTCTTTGTAGACTGTTTTGTGCGTAGGGGAGGTTTGGACTTAAAACTTTGTCTTTAACAGATTGAGGCTGTTGAACTCCCAATGGATCCCAAGTTGAACAAAAGAAGAGGTTTTGTTTTTATCACTTTCAAAGAGGAAGACCCTGTGAAAAAGGTTCTGGAGAAAAAGTTCCATACTATCAGTGGAAGCAAGGTAAGGTGTCCCAGACCTGCTGCTGGAGAGCCGGTCTTTGCAGGTACGGGTCAAGGGCTTGCTGAATTAGCCATACCCTATCTCTTGTGTGTCTGCTTCCGTGGTTGGGGCAGGACAAAGAGTTGACAGAATGGTTGGAGCATGGTCAGTAGCTTTAAATGAGGGGAGCGAGGCCAGGATGTTCAAGTTTCAGAAGATTGTAGAGTTTGCACAGTTCATCTCCTCCTGGTGAAGTTTTTCCTTCTCCAGAGTTTTCTCCCTCTTTCCTCTGTCTGTCCCTTTGGCCAGTCTGTCCCAGGCAGAACTGTGGTCCTGGCCAACTTAAATCCATGACTAATTTTGTTTTCTTTTTCCCTCATGTTATGGTCCGGTCGTGGGGCCTGAACTCTGGGCATGGGCACTGTCCCTCAGCTCTTTAGCTCAAGGCTAGTGCTCTACCACTTGAGCCACAGCACCACTTCCGGCTTTTTTCTTTTTGCTTATGTGGTGCTGAGGAATCGAACCCAGGGTCTCAGGCATGCAAAGCAAGCACTCTGCCACTGAGCCACCTTCCCAGCCCCTCCCTCATGTTATGTTGTATGCGCCTACATAGCTTGGCAGTTAGGAGCGTGAAGGTGTGGCAGGCAGGGTGAGATAGATTGCACCTGGATGGTGTTCAACAGCCTCAGTCTGTTAAACACAAAGTTTAAGTCTGAACCTCCCCTATCCAGAAAACAAAGAAAATCTGGATTAATCTTTTAAAGATAGGCCTCTAAAGCAGTGGAACTGCTGCTGGGTTTGGGAATAAGTGTATGGAATTGGCTGTATATTCCATATTTTGTATAGGATGGAAAAAGTCACGTGGGGGGGCAGGCTTGTAAATAGAGTCCAGTGTGTATCAGGACCCCTCCCCAAGTTGTGGGCAGGCAGTCACCCTGGCCCTACTCTGAGCCTCAGGTTTTATCTGTATGGTGGAGGTCATAATCTCAATAGAATATTTGAGTGGGATGAGTATCTTCTGTAATCTCAATAGAATATTTGAGTGGGATGAGTATCTTCTGTAAAAGAAAAAAAGAGTAAGCTTTTAGGTACCCAAGACACTTTATCTAGGAAGTCTTCTGACCCTCTTGCCCTGTTCCTTGCCACTGGGATTTCTGTCTCCCAGGCTTTGACTTCCTGTCCTCTTGGCTTTTAGTGTGAAATCAAGGTGGCTCAGCCCAAAGAGGTGTATCAGCAGCAGCAGTATGGCTCTGGGGGCCGTGGGAACCGAAACAGAGGGAACCGAGGCAGTGGCGGAGGTAAGTGGGATGTGGATGAAGACAGGTCCTGCGTGCTGCCTCTGGCAGGGTGGGCAGGCAGCGTGTGAAGTGGGAACAGTTTTTGGGTGGGGACTATGTGCTTGTGCTGTTGTGGCTCCTTGGAATGAAGAGCTTAGTTCTTTTCACTCCTGTGGCTTGGGGCCCCAGGGCAGAGGGAGCATCTGCATTGCACTGGCGTGAAGGGGGGGGGCATGGTGGGTTGTGCTTGGCTCTGTGGCTGTCCTCTGAGTCTTGGTACATCCGTGGGCAGAAAGGTAGAGCTGTGCCAGGCGCTTACCTCCTTCCATCCCAGGCCCCTCTGACTCCAAAGCCTGAACTGCATCTTTTTCAAGGCCAAGCTGCCAGGAAGGGTGGGGTGATTGAGTAAGCCACCTGTACTCCAAGTAAAGCTAGCACTCTGGCCTCCAGATTGGGTCTCAGGTAGGTAAAGGGCTGGGCCCAGGGCCCTCCCTCTACATCAGAACAGTAGCCCCTTGGCTTGTGCCTGAGTTGCCATAGTAACCTCGCCACCCAAAGGGCAGGATTTCCTCCATCCTAGCTCCTGCGTGTGCTAAATGGTCCATGGGCCCCTGTGCCCTGCTCCCCCCACAGGTCAGAGTCAGAGTTGGAATCAGGGCTACGGCAACTACTGGAACCAGGGCTACGGCTACCAGCAAGGCTACGCTGGTAGCTACGGGCCCAGCTATGGCGGCTACGACTACTCGCCCTATGGCTATTACGGCTACGGCCCCGGCTACGACTACAGTAAGTAGGAGAGGGATGCCCCATTAACTATCCCCTAGGGGAGGCAGGTCAGACAGTGCAGGGGCCGCTGGCAGCAGGGGCTTTGGAATCAGACAGGCCTGGCTCAGTCAGGCACTGGAGTTCCTGGATGGAGCTCTAGCTCTGGGACCAGTGAGCCCTACTGTACAGGGTTTTTTGAGGATCCTGTGAGGAAGCCTGTCAAGCACCTGGCACAGGGTAAATGCTCAGTAAGTAGTCGCTGCTACGTTGTTCTTATCCCTAGGTCAGGGTAGTACAAATTACGGGAAGAGCCAGCGACGTGGTGGCCATCAGAATAACTACAAGCCATACTGAGGCAACAGCAGGAGCGGCCAACTGACGCCCGCACACGCTTTGTTTGGATATGGAGTGAACACAATTATGTACCAAATTTAACTTGGCAAACTTTCTATGGCCTGTCCCATGTGCATCTTATTTAAAATTCCCCCCTTGGAAATCAACTCTCCTGTTTACTATTTCCAGAGCTCTAGTTGTTTTAGGCAGCGTGTGATGTCTCAGGCCAGAGCGGCATTAGGGGCTTTTATTACCAGGTTACCCAGAACCAGATTGGAGGGTCTGCTTCCTTTGGCTGCTTTGCAGCCTGGACCTGCGGACCCTGGTTGTAAAGAGTAAACTGCATTTTAGGAAACCAGTGTCACCTTTTAATTTTATATTATTTGTGTCATACATTTCCTGTAATGGAAGTGTTAATTTTACTGTACTTTTTGGTACCTTTTGGGAATCTAATGTATTGTAAGGTATTTTACACGTGTCCTGATTTTGCCACGACCTGGATATTGAAGCTATCCAAGCTTTTGAAATAAAATTTAAAAACCCTTACTAAGCCTGGGTGAGTGTGGGAAATGCTGTTGCAGACACTATGGGACAAGACACTCCGAGCTGGTCCAACAGTTGTTCCAGATCTGGTGGCACCTGATAGGCATACGTATTCTACACCTTTACTACACCAGTAACTAAAGTGTTGAAGGTGAGTGGATAGCTTTTTCTTTGTGCCAGCACTGTCTGAGCTTCTTTGCGCTAGGCTAGTGCTGTATCGCAGCGCCACTTGTGGTTTTCTTGTGGTTACTAGGTCAGCTTTTGAGATGCTAGGATTACAGGCATGAGCCGCTGGTGCCCAGTAAGTAGCTACAGATGGTGAGAAACCATAGGAGCAAGGGCACTCACCTGGAGAATGAGCTGGCTTAGGGCTGAAGCCTCAGGGTCTTACAACTTCTCACTTTCTCTTCCATATCTGAAAGACAAGACCCTGGGTCACCTTTTTTAGCCTTCACTGTCCTGGCTAAAACAGCAGTTTGCACTTTGGGACCCTATAAAAACCCCAAGGTCCTATGGCAGGTCAGCCTTCACTGTCCCAGGCAAATATGACCAAACCCCGGGGCTTTGGTTACCAATGAGGCAGTGTGGAGACGAGGAGTGCTGCTTGCTCTGCTTCCACCATGAGGGAATGACTTTGCTCGTTACCAGCGCAGTCCATAGCTATGTCTAGTTAAGTAGAAACCAGGGGCTGTCCTTCCCAGATATTAGCAATGCGGGGAGCATCTCAGTATCTGAGGGTGTTTGGAGCACCCGAGCTTCCACTTTTCTTCTAGGGAACCTTGTCTCCCAAAGACCAGGTTAGCTTTGGTCTTGAATTTTTCTACTATCCAGAGGACACCCTGGCTCCTCTGGAGCAATGCTGGGGATGCAGCTTTCTGGCCCCAGGTTGGGTTCTAGATGCTATGTACATAGCCATTCTGGCTCCAAGCTCACTTGTCAGAATGGCATCCATCTTTGTCACCACTTGAAGCGCGTTGTCCAGACTAAAGCACATGGGGGGCTTAAACTTTAGGACATTCCTCCCGGGACCGTCAGTGCTCAGCAAGATGTAGTTCTCCTTCAGTCTGTAAGGACAGAGTACCACGATCAGCCTGGTGGTGGTCAGTGCCTGGGATCTAGCTTTGTACCACCAGACCATTCAGGATCCCAGAGTTCACTGGGAGAAGGTGCTGTGGGCTGACAGGGCTATCACACCACTGAAGATGAGGAAGGCTTGGGCATTAGTACCAGACCATGCATGCATGCTTCACAATTTTAGCAGGACATCAGCTTTTCTGTGTGTAAGTCTGAGGGCAGGGAGCGAAGAATAGAGCCTTCATCTTGTGGCCACTGTCCCAAGTGTGCCTCCGGGAGAGCCACTTATGTTTCCAACTTTCTGTCTATGAAACTACACTAGGACTGCACCTGAGAGCTGGACTGTTTGGGGTTCTCAGCAGAGGGAGTTGCCCTGGGTTAGGGTTGCCACTCACTGGGCACACACACATCAGCTGCCTCAACCTCAGGCCCAAGGTGCCAGAGGCATGCTGTTCTACTCGCTGCCCCAGGCTGGGAACCCATAGTGTTTTAAGAAAATACCTGGATACCAGGTATTCAGCCTCTTCAGTTGCTGGTGTTCTTGTGGCTTCATCTCTGACCAGATCTACACCCACGAAGAGCCCAGTGCCCCTGGAGGAGAGAGGACATCTCAGGCCAATAATGGAGGGACTGCAACCCTTCTTCTCTTTCACCAAGGCCCCCCTCCTCCCCCCCATTGGAAACCACCTTGGCTTCTGCTCCCTGAAAGTGGGGTGAAATCAGTTCCTAAGGGGTCCCCAGGTGTGGGTACTGGTGGTCAGCTGGCTAAGGTTGAGTCACAACCGACTACTATGTGTAAGCTGCCAGTCTTGGACTTGAACTTGGGGCCTGAGCACTGTCCCTGGATTTTTTCTATCAAGGCCTACAGCTCCACTTCCAGCTTTTTTGGTAGTTAGAAGAGTCTCATGGACTTCGCTGTGTGGGCTGGGTTCAAACTGAACATATCTCTTGTCTCTTGAGTAGCAAGGATCACAGGACTGAGCCAGCAGAGCCTCTCAGTTCCTCTTATCTAAAGAGTGGACAGTGAGGTGGAGGGCTGGCTAGCAAGCCTGACAGTTGAAACCTCAGTAAAACAGAAAAGCAGTGGGTCCTGGCAGGTATTGGTTAGCTGCTGCCCCCAGAGCCTTACCTAATGTCCCCGATGATGGGATGCTTGGCTTTTTGCTGCCTGAGGAGCTCCATCAGGAAGCTGCCTACGCAGGAGGCATGAGCCTGGAGCTGCTGCTGCTCCACAACATCGAGGACTGCCAGGCCCACGGCGCAAGATACAGGGCTGCCACCAAACTGAGCCAGGAAATAAGGCGTGTCAGATGTTCAGCACACTGGGTCACCACACAAGGGCTGCAACAGGCACACAAATGTCCCCCAGTCTCATGAGACCATCCATCCTCCCAGGCCCTATGTGACTACCCCAGGGGTACAGCAGGGAAGTTGAAGACTAGAGAAGAGGTGGTGTCTGAGCACAAGGCAGGTCCCCTCACTTCCAACAAAAGGCCCACAACACCAGAGCTCACCCCAGAGAAATCACTGGTGGTGGTACAAATCAGCTGTTGTTAAACTCAGGGAAGATACAAGGATACAAACCACAAGCTATGTGCCTGGGTGCCACAACTGGCCTGTCAACATGGTGTTTCTAAAAGTTGGTAAGTGATACTGCCCCAACCCTGTATTTCTGACATCTGGCTACACTCAGCATGGGTGACTCCTCCCTCTGAGTTATCTGGAGTACTTTGTTTTACATATCAGAGGGTCAGTAACAAGATGGGAATTTTTTCTTCAAACTGCATTAAAAAAAACGGTGGCTCATACCTGTAATCCTAGCTACTCAGGAGGCTGAGATCTGAGGATCATGGTTCAAAGCCAGCCTGGGCAGGAAAGGCTATGAGACTCCTCTCCAATAAACCACCAGAAAACCAGAGGTGGCGCTATTGCTCAAGTGGTAGAGAGCTAGCCTTGAGCTGAAGAGCTGAGGGACAGCGCCCAGGCCCAGAGTTCAAGCAAAAACAAAACACAAAACCAAACAGGCACAAAATTTAAAGTTTAGCCAGAGGTGGCACTGTGGCTCAAGTAGTGAGAGTGCAGGCCTTGTGCACAGAGGCTCAGGGACAGCCCAGACCCCAAGTTCAAGCCCCCAGGACCAGCAAAAAATAAAATATGAAGTTTACTGTTATGGCAAATGTACAGATCTGCACAACTTCCTCCACAGTGAAGCTTCCAGATATTTTCACCCTCACTGGCCCCAGGTAGCCACCTGCTTGCTTTTTCACTGCAGCTTTGCCTTTCCTATAGAGGCCATAGAAACCCAACTGTAGAATAGGTGCCCTTTTGTAAAAACCCATCTGTAACAGGTTAGAGAAATTTATCCATACTGTAAACTCAGTTTGTCCGCTGTTGTATAATATTCCATTGTGAACATTCATCCTTTGTTTATTCATCTGTTAATGGACCCTTGAGTTTGTTTTTTTGGTTGCTGTGAATAAACCTATGAATATATACAGCCATTTGTAAACCCTATATTCTCATATCCTCAGGTAAAGTACCTTAGAAACAGGTAGAACTATTGGGTTATGTGATACATGTTTGACTTCGTAGACACAGTGTTCTAAAGTGGTGATTGTGTTATATTCCCATATTCCCACTAGTATTTGACATTCTAGCACAGGTCCCCAATTCTATTTAACATTTGAGCCCTGCCTCCCCCAGTACTGGGGATTGAACTTAGCCTCCCACTCACACAAGCATTGAGTCACATTTCTAGCCCTGTCCTTGAAATTTTCAGTCTGCCTCATTCTTCCAAGAAGCTGAAGAGTACAAGTGTGAACCACCACATCCAGCAATCTAAGTACAGGTTAAGTAACACTATGTCTCCCCCACCCTCACGGTCACCCCAGAGGACCACAGAAGCAGATGAAGAAAACTGGGGAACTCTGAGGTTTAACATAGAGTGGTGACTGGCTAGAGGTGGGTAGCAGCCCAGTGGTGTCAGGGTAAGTTACATCAGAACAATTTTGCCTTTGTGATCCAGCCCCTACACTCTTAAGCACCCAGAGTCCTGATCCTCGTGACCTTAGCTCATTTCTTGGTTCAGTGGGATCTGTCCAGCATAGACAGTGACCCATGTATAGGCTCAAGGGCAAGGCACTTGAAGCACAGAATTTAATAAGGAGAAGGCAGGCTGGGAAGGTAGCTCAGTGGAAGAGTGCTTGCCTCGCATGTATGAGATCCTGGGTTTGATTCCTCAGCACCACATAAACAGAAAAGGCCAGAAGTGGTGCTGTGGCTCAAGTGTTAAAGCTAGTCCAGGCCCAGAATTCAAGCCCAACGACCGGGGTGAGGGAGGGGGGGGGCTGGGGGGGGGAAGGGAAAGAAGACAGGTGGCTGGCTTTATTGGGAGCTGAAAGGTAGCAGTCCCACAGGTGGCCATATTGGTGATATAAGCCAGAAACAGAAAGCTAGTTGAAACAGATGGGAAAAGACAGAATAGACACACCTGAGTAACAGAGCAGGGCAGAAAACTCCCAGGCAAAGGTAAACAATATAAAATATACAATAAAAACATATATGAGCCGGGTGCTGGTGGCTCATGCCTGTAATCCTAGCTACTCAGGAGGCTGAGATCTGAGGATAACGGTTCAAAGCCAGCCCGGGCAGGAAAGTCCGTGAAACTTCTCTCCAATAAACCAGAAAACTGGAAGTGGTGCTGTAGCTCAAGTGGTAGAGCGCTAGCCTTGAGCTGAAGAGCTGAGGGACAGCGCCCAGGCCCAGAGTTCAAACCCCACGACTGACCCCAAAATAAAAACAGTTGGAAGACTGCTCTGGAAGACAGAGCAGTTGAAAATAGTTAAAGGCACAATGGCAACAGATCTGTTGGCGTTAAAAATCATAAAAGCCAGACGACGTCTTTGCCTCATGCCTGTAATCCTAGCTACTCCTTATCTCCAATTAACCACCTGGAAACTGGAAGTGGCGCTGTGGCTCAAGTGGCAGAGTGTTAACCTTGAGCTGAAAAGCTGAGGGACAGCGCCCAGGCCGAGTTCAAGCCTCATGACCAACCCACCAAATTTTTTTTCATAAAAAATGATAATACTGGCAAAAGTCATCATAACCGTTTTCAGACTTAAGGCAGTGAGACCAAGGCTGGCAGCAGACTCAAATGCCTGCCAAACTCACACCTAGGACCTGGGGTCACCATTTCACCTGCTGTGTGTGCTCTCTGGGTCTGCCCAGTATTTATGGCAGGCATTTGGTTACTTGCCGAAGTGGTGAATGGATAAACGGTGAGGAACAAGGCATCTTCCAGGAGCTCTGTTCTGTTCCTAACCTATAGGGCCACTCATAGGTGTGGAAGCTCACTGTGCCATTGCTTGTGAACTAAGAGGAGATGCCTGACAAGCCCTTTGCTCTTGCCAGTGGCTGCCTTGACAAGCATAGGCTGAGGTGGGATCAGAAACGGGCAGGATGTGACTGGTTGTAGGTCTTTTGTAGGTCTTTTAAGAGTTGTCACACTTGCTGGATAGCTGCTAACCTAAGCTGGCAGAGATTGGCCAGTGGTGAGAGCTGAGGGCTTTTCAGGTTCTCTTCACCAAGTGAGGCTATTGTGGGCAGTCAGTTGTCTGCAACCTAGAAGAGAACCTTAACCAGAACCCAGCCATTTCTACTTCCAACCTCCAGAATTAGGAGAAATAAATTGGAGTGTTTTTTGGGCTGCCTTGTATTTGGTTATTATAATGACCCAAACTAACACATAGATTGAAGCAGCAACCAAATATCTTCCCACAAAACACAAGGCTCAGAGGGCTCTGCATTTGAGCTTCAGCCACAGATGGGCTGGGGTATGGCTGAAGAGACAGAATGCTTAGCTTGCAGGCATGAGGCCCTGACTTCAAATCTTAGTACCACCAAAAGAATAGATCATCTCAATTTTATATAAAAAGAAAGGTGGGAATATTTCCCAACTCCATTTATAAAGGCAGTAGGACCCAGATATCAAAACTCAAATTACACTGGTGGTGGTAGTAGCTCACCCCTGTAATCCTAGTGACTCAGGAGGCTGAGATCTGAGGATTGAAATTTCAAGCCAGCCCAGGCAGAAGAGTCTGAGACTCTTACCTAGCAAAAATTAACTAGCTGGGACTGGGAAGGTGGCTCAGTGGTAGAGCGCTTGCCTTGCATGCATGAGGCCCTGGGTTCCATTCCTCAGTACCACATAAGCAAAAAGAAAAAAGCCGGAAGTAGCGCTGTGGCTCAAGTGGTAGAGTGCTAGCTTTGAGTTGAAGAGCTGAGGGACAGCACCCAGGCCCAGAGTTCAGGCCCCATGACTGGACCCCCCCCAGAAGCCCCCCAAAAACAAAAATTAACTAGCAAAAAGCTGGAAATGGCTCAAGTGGTAGAGTGCCAAACCTTGAATAAAAAAACTAAGGAGCGGTGGCCAGGCCCTGATTCAAGCCCAAGTCCTGGTGCACACAGAAATTATATATAACAAAAACACCCTTAAGTTACAAGAAAAATTCTAGCTACATTTTCCTTCTGAAAACAGGTGCCAAGTACACAAGTAAAATATAAGCAGAGTACTGTGTAAAATGACAATAACTCACTCAGATTTGTCCTGGGTATGCAAAGACTGGTTTGATCCAAGCACTGTGGAAGAGGGTGGGCAAGAATCCCATAAACTCCTTGTTAACAGATTAGAAGAGCAAAAATTCAATACATAAAAAGAATGAAGAAAAAGCCAGAAGTGGCGCTGTGGCTCAAGTGGTAGAGCGCTAGCCTTGAGTTGAAGAGCTGAGGGACAGCGCCCATGCCCCACGACTGGACCCCCCCCCCAAAAAAAAAAGAGTGAAGTAATATTGAATTCCTTTTCATAGTTAAAATTATTTAGTAGCAGGAAATTCATAGAGATCTAGAAGATCTCAGTTTGAACCCAGACAAGGCAGAAAAGGCTGTTAAGACTTCATCTCAAAAATAATCAGCAAGGCCAGGTGCTGGGGGCTCATGCCTAGAATTTCTAGCTACAACTCAGGAGACTGAGCTCTGAGGATCCCAGTTCAGAATCAGCTCAGGCAGGAAAGTCCACGAGACTCATCTCCAATTCACCACCAAAAAACAAGAAGTGGAGCTATATGGCATAAGTGGTAGAGTGAAAAAGCTCAGTGCCCAGGCCCTGAGTTCAAGCCCTAGTACTGGCATCAAAAATAAATACCACAAAATAGCAAAAAGCCAAGCTGGAGGCATGGCTCAAACAGTAGACTACTGCTTAACAAGGAAGCCAAGCAAGTGCAAGGTCTTGAGGTCAGACCTCAGTACTGGAAATGATAGTCAATAGAACGTTTATTTTGTGGCGGTAGGTCGAACACAGAACTTTGTGCATACCAAGCACATGCTCTGCCACTGAACTATACCCCCAGCCACAAACGTTGCACTAAATGGACAAACAAACAAGCCCAGTGTTCTACTTGTGTTCAGCTACTATAGGAAGTCTCACCCAGTGTAAGGAGACAGCTCCTACTATTTGGAGGTAAGCTTTTACCTAATCTGACTGTGATGGTTTTAAACCTGCAAATCTCAGTACTTGGAGGATCACAAGTTAGAGGCCAGCTTGGGCTAGATAGTGAGACCTCATATCAAAAGCACCAGAACAGGGGCTGGGAAGGTGGCTCAATGGTAGAGTGCTTGCCTTGCAAGCACGTGGCCCTGGGTTCGATTCCTTAGCACCACATAAGCAGAAAAAGCCAGAAGTAGCACTGTGGCTCAAGTGGTAGAGTGCTAGCCTTGAGTTGAACAGCTGAGGGACAGCGCCCAGGCCCAGAGTTCAGGCAGGCCCCACAACTTGGGGAATGGGGTGGGGGCGGGGAAGAAACATCTTAAATTGAGGCTACATACCCACCATGTATCCTAGCAATTCTCTAAGGGTCAGTTCCTAACCTTTTTACTCTGAAGGAAAACCTTGCATATACAGATCAGACTCAGAAAAACTTGTCAGCAGCAAATCAGAAAAACACTGAACCACTTCAAGGCATTCAACAGAAATGGAGTGCACACTGTGAGGTAGTCAAATCTCTCTGTGGATGATCCTTAGGAACATCATGTTAGCTGAATCCCCCACAAAATCTCCAGAGTACATGTAGAAGAAACAATGGGGAGGGAACTGATTGGAGTACGTTACTTATGTGCGTGGAACTGGCGCAATGAAACCCTGTACCTGCCATTGGGCCTGGCACATCATAGTTTCTTGCTGGAGGGAGAGGGGCTCTGCATTCTCGAAGTATTTTATAAGACACAATCTCTTAGCGGCATCTTTTGGCTGACAATCATTTTTAAGAATGTTTTGCAACAGTAAAAGAGAAACTGACCTGGTTGTGGCTTTCCTTTGCTGGGCACCGAGCTGGCCCATGGCCTTCATTGACTTAGGAGCAGCTGATCACAGGTGCCTAAGCAGAGCCACAGCCCTCTCTTGCCCTGGAGCCACTACTTACCGTGTTGAAGTATTCCACGCCGGTGGCTTCAAATGCCCTCGCCACAGCTTGGGTGGTGGCCACACATGCAAGTGGGTGGCCATTGCCAATGGACTTGCCCATGGTGACAATGTCAGGGACAAAGTCTTCCCCCTGCAGCTGGAAGGCCCAGAAGTGCTTGCCCACTCGGCCAAAGCCAACCTGGATCTCGTCTGCCACAAAGACCCCTCCGGCTCTGCGGATGTGCCTGTGGTGGAGATCAGGGAACTGTGGCTAGAGGGGTTATACCAGGGGACGGGAAATTCTGGGGCTCTGAATCTTTGCCCTGCCAGCTGTTATACTGGGGGTGGGAGTGGGGTGGAGGAGGAAAGACAAATGGGTGATCTTTTTGGAGACATTATTTTAAAGGCTTTGTTTCAAAGAGTCCTGGCAAGCAGACCAGACTGTGGTTGGAATTTGGAACAGAGTTTGGGAAACCCAATTACAGCCTGTCCTCCCTGGGGCAGACCCAGGCCACCAACTCACTCTGCCACTCGGGGGAAGTAGCCAGCAGGAGGGATGATCTGCCCACCAACACTGGGCAGAGACTCAGCGAAGAAGGCTGCAATCTGGGGACAAACCAGAGTCAGGAGTGCCACCAGGAGCTCATGGGTTCTGCCTGTGCCCACGGCTACCTAAGCAGAGGCCCCTCCTTTGGGCCCCCCACCAGGCCTGAGGGATTGGGACCCTTACCTTCTGGTCACCCACATCCCTTTGAACTTGGCACGCCCCTCCCCTCCAGGCCTGTTCCTTTCCCCAACTCTCCTTGGTGACACGTCTGTCACCCTTCTTGCCAGGGACAGAAACATCCAGATCCTCAACCTATCCCATCCCTCATCTGCTCAGCCAAGCACACAGCCTGGCTCCCATCGGTGACATCTCTCAACCTATAGCTTCTTCTCCACCTGGCTGCAGACCTGCCTGTCTCTGCTGTGGCCTTCAGCAGATGCCATTCAACCTCACACCGCTGTCCCTCTCTTAACCTCATCCCCAAGTCTCTGGCCCTCTTGCTGGGTGGAGCAGTGATTGCCTGGCTGTGTTCTGCCCTGGATCTGCTCCTGAGCCTATGTAGGGGCCACAGGATAGGCTGGGGGGTTGGGGAAATGTTGCCCTGCCTTGGCCCGGCAGGGCGCCATTCTTCACTGGTCCCACAGATGTGGCTAGTGAGCATCTGAACCTACAGGCCAGGCTTCCTTGGTTTGGTTCTTCTAACCTGGCCTGCCAGCCTCCCGTGCCTTTCTTTGACATATCTAGCCTGCCACTCCTGTAGCAAGGTCTCCAGAAAGCACCCACCCTAGGTACAACAGCCCCCTCTACTGTCAGGGTGGTGGGCACTGCTCTCCTCTGCCTGTCCATAGTCCACCTTAGCCAGGCAGCACACTGATCTCTGCATTCCTGCTCTTGGGCTGCCTCATTCACCCCTGCCCTGCACACTGCTTGGAGGGCCAGGTCTGCTTGCACTCCCACCCCAAGCCCCTGCACTCAGGTCTTACCTGCTTCCTGGGCTGCTCAGCCTGGCCCTGCACTCAGTCTGCCCATCCTCCCCTGTGCCCACCCTGCCTACACTAACTCTACTCACTACTGGGGTCAGCTGGCCACCTCCTCCAAGGTCCCTGCCTCACCAAGCCTGGTGCTATTTGGAGCCCTTAACAGCTGATACCTAGCTGCACCTCCATCCATGCTCTCCCCAGTGTACTCAAAACTGCTAGGCACCTAAGCAGCCTCCCTTCCCCACTAGATGCCCAAAGGACAAGGCCTCGTCCTGTGGTCTTCCTCTGGGTTCCCAGCATCTGTCACCATACAGTGCCATTCACTGGTGTGGCCAGATATGGGTGTGGTTACCTCCCGACCCTTCTCCTGAGCACGGGTGATCACACGCTTCACCTCGGTGGCATAGGCCTCTGCTGGGTTGGGGTGGTCCTCTCGGTAGGGGCCTCGGTAGGTGTCTGGGAGAGGTGCCTAAGAGAATGACACCACCATGTCATCCCTGCATGGGAGCCGGCACCAACCTGCGTTGCTTCTGTGGGCAGTACGTACCACATGGACCCACTCCTTCTGGCCATCCAGGTCTCGGAACTTGTAGGGGCTGATGTCAATCAGGGAGCTCAAGTGACCGTGATAAGCACTGTGGAGAGGAAGGCAAAGCTCAGGGCCACTGGGCATGTACTTCTGGTCATGGTCCTGAGCACTGTGTACCCACCTCTGAAGACAACACAGGCCCTGAGTCAGCCGTTGGGCTATGTGAGGCTTTGGGCCTGGAATATTAGAAGATTTCTTGCAAGATGGCCCACTGACGGAGCTGGGATGTTGGCTCAGTAGTAGAGGGCTTGCTTCGCATGCATGAGGCCCTGGGTTCCATTCCTCAGCACCACATATGCAGTACAAAGCCAGAAGTGGCGCTGTGGCTCAAGTGGTAGAGAGCTAGCCTTGAGCTGAGAGACAGCTCCCAGACCCAGAGTCTAGGCCCCACAACTGACCAAAAAAAAAAGATGGCCCACTGAACTGGGTGCTGGTGGCTCATGCCTGACCCTAGGTACTCAGGAGGCTGAGATCTGAGGATCATGGTTCAAAGCCAGCCTGGGCAGGAAAGTATGAGATTTTTATCTCCAATTAACAACCAGAAAAAGCGAAAGTGGTGCTGTGGTTCAAAGCGGTAGAGCACTAGCCTTTAGTGAAAAAGCTCAGGGACAGCACCCAGGTCCTGAGTTCAATCCCCACAACTGGGGATGGGGGGGAGGAGGGATGAAGATGGCCCATTGGCCTCATCTAATCATCCTGCTGAGTTGACTGCCTCAGGAGGCAGTAGGCCTCCTTCAGGGGGTATAATGAATCTCCAAGGTACTAGTATGCTCTAAATCTGGCCCAGGGCCTTTGCACGTAATATAGTTGACACCTGGGAGCAGCATCTGTCATTACACAGTGCTCCCTGCCCAGAACAGTGGCTGAAGAGAGCCTCTGAGATGGTGTCTGGGGCCAGGTCCTATGTGTCATGCTGTTCCCAGTGGCTCATGGTGCTCCTCTTCCTGGCCTAAGGCACCTAAGGCCAGAGCCTCTGGGATTGCCAGCAAGTCTGCGGGCCCACGCTCCAGGCAATGCAGAGCTGGGAGCTGTACTTACTGGTCTAACACCACCACATCCTGGTGTCCTGTGTACTGGCGGGCCAGTCGCAAGGCCAGGTCATTGGCTTCTGACCTACAACAGAAAAGGTGATTAGGAAATGCCACCCAGGGGGCTTTGCCAGGCTTGAGGAGCCTCTGTACCAGCAAGAAGGTTCTCAGGATAGCCTCTGCTTGTTCATTGGGAAAACATCATATCCCACCCCAAACTTATACTCTATTGAGTCATGAAAGACCAAACAGTGTTTATCTTTCTATGTGACCAGGGGATTTGGACAAAAGCTGAGATGTGAACTCTGGGCTTGAACTCTGGGTCTAGGCTCTGTCCAGCAGCTCTTCAGCTCAAGGTGAGTGCTCTACCACTTGAGCTACAGCACCACTTCTGGTTTTCTGGTGGTTTATTGGAGATAGGAGTCTCACAGTCTTTCCAGGCTGGCTTTGAACCATGATCCTCAGATCTCAGCCTCCTGAGTAGCTAGTATTATAGGTGTGAGCCACCGGCACCCGGCTGAGATTTTTTTTTTTTTAAGCCAAGTTCTCACTATGTAGTAGAGATGGCCCTGAACTTGAGTTTCTTCCAGTCTCAGCAGAAGGTGACTATGTATAGACATGCCAAACTGGAGCTGTTTGTCACATGTCAAATGGGCAGTCAGGACCTAGTCTTGAGGATCTGAAAATTATCCAGAAGCTGGGCGCTGGTGGTTCACGCCTGCAATCCTAGCTACTCAGGAGGCTGAGATCTGAGGATCATGGTTCAAAGACTGTAAGACTCTTGTCTCCAATAAACCACCAGAAAACCGGAAATGGCGCTCTAGCTCAAGCGGTAGAGCGCTCGCCTTGAGCTGAAGAGCTGAGGGACAGCGCCCAAGCCCAGAGTTCAAGCCCCACGGCCGACAAAAAAATAAAATAATCTAGTTTCCAGTACATAGATGATAATTCCAAGGCAATGGATAAGCTCCCAAAGGGAAAGGCTTAGAGAAAAATGGCCTGGCACCAGTCCAGCAGACAGAAGAGTGGCTAAAGCTTGAAGTGAGAGCAGGTATCCTGGAAGCAAAGCATATCAGAAAGAATGGCAGGCCTGCCACACGTGCTGACAGGTGAAGGAGCAATGGGGCCACTGGATTTGGTCACCTTTATATAAAGCCACCAGTGGCAGGATGCCAGTGGCTCAGGCTCCTCTGGAAGCTGAGATCTGGAGGATAACAGTTTGAAGATAGCCCAGGCAGAAAAGTCTGATAGATTTCATCTCTGGGAGTCACCAGACAGGACAGCTGGTACACAGGCTTAGTGCTACAAAGCCAGGCTAGAGTCATGGCTCAAGCAGTTGAATGCCAGCCATGCAAGCAAGCCAAGTGAACTCAAGGCCCCCGAGTTCACACCCCAGTACAGGGGACAGGAGTGTTAGTGGGGAGGGAAGTCACTGGAATCACAGATCAAGCCTGTGGAGAGAGCCAATAGGAATGACCCTATCTCCTCTGGTGGGGGAGCACTGACGCCACAGCACAGCTTTCTGCTCTTCCCAGGAGCTTCCAGTTCAGGCACCGGATCTCTCTTAGCCAGCACCTTTCCAAGAACTGATGCTTCCTTAACAGTAAAAGATAGCATTCAAGGAACTGCTAAACTGCTAGATGCATTAGATAATGGCATGGTTGACCAGGATCCTTAGCATAATTCACATGCCACTATCATTTCCTGGAATGTTTAATAAAGCTGTCTGGGTCCCTCTCCAGTGTCAGCTCACATTCTTTCCTCCTCTGGCTCCTCCAATGTGCAGAAACACCTTGCCTTTGTAGCACTGTGCCTGGCACAGGCTTCTGTGTGATGGCCCACGTTGAGCAGCACTCCTCCAATGGAGCAGAAGCGCCCTTCTTTCCCCTACTTCCTTCCTAGTAACTAAGCCTCAGTTCCACATCCTCCTTTCCATCTCCCAGGACAGATCAGGTCCTCTGCTGCTTCAGGCCTCTTTATATATATAATCTTCTCCAGAAAATTACCACTCTTGGTAATATTATACTTCTTTGTGGAATCACTTGATGTTTCTGTGTCTTAATGAGCAACCTGAGAGTAGTAACTTCAGGCTGTATCCAGAAGGCAGAATTAAAGGAATACACCACCTCATGAAACCTTTACAATGATCCTGCAAGAGAGGCAATGGTGGTGGGTTTTTTGGGGGGTAGGGGGAAGTCGGTTGTGGGGCTTGAACTCTGGGCCTGGGCACTGTCCTTCAGCTCTTCAGCTCAAGGCTAGCGCTCTACCATGGTGAGCCACAGCACCACTTCCAATTTTCTGGTGGTTAATTGGAGATAAGAGTCTCATGTACTTTCTTGCCCAGGCTGGCTTTGAATCATGATCTTCATGTCGCAGCCTCCTGAGTAGCTAAGATTATAGGCGTGAGCCTCCAGCACCCGGCTGGCATTGGTGTTCTTCAATAACAGAAGGAAACTAGATTTGACTGAAAAAGCATCAGCATATGCAGCATATATGCAAGCCTCTGCCCCAAGCCTGCGCTTGTTTGGTTTTCCTGTGCTGTGCCCATGTGGGTGACCTTCTTCTCCAGGCCCCACTCTCGTTAGGGGCTGGTAGCAGTCCACTTACCCAGAATTCAGGAAATAAAACACACAGAGCTTCTCCGGCAGCGTCTCCGACAGCCTCTGCGCAAAATCCACGATGTTGTCATGCAGGAAGCGGCTGTTGGTGTTGAGCACCTGGTTCTGGTCATGTGCGGCTTGAACCACAACAGGGTGGCAGTGCCCGACTGCAAAAGGGCCACATGGCCAACTCCACTTAGCCAGTCCCAGCAGGCCTCCCTCAGCCCCAACAGGCAAACCCCACTAGGGGAAGATGCAATTCAGAAGGGAGAGGTGGAAAGAGAAGAGTTGAAGACAGAGGGAGGGGAGAACAATGGTTCTGGAAAGAAAAGATCTAGAAAGTTCCTGAGATTCCAGAGGAACAAAAAGATTCTCTGGGCTTGAGGTAACCACCTTTTTTTTTTTTGGTAGTTAATTGGAGATAAGACTTTCCTGCCCAGGCTGGCTTTGAACTACAATCCTCAGAATCTCAGACTCTTAGGTAGCTTGGATTATAGGTGTGAGAAACCAAGCCCTGGCTTTTATCCTTCACTTTAACCACTTCTCTGGCGGAAATCCTATCTAGAATAATCTATGCCTTTAAGGAACCTTCTGGAGCACTTCTGCTTGACCAAGGCAGGGCTAGGGATAACCATCAGTGGGTTCGATTTCACCATTCAGTAGGGGTTGGAGGTAATCCTGATTATCAAGAAACCAAGGATAATGGTAACTGACAATGTGTGTGGAGAACTCACCAAATGCCAGACACATTCAAACTGTTACACTAATTAACACATTTAATTCTTTGCACCTGAAGGTGGGCAGTTAGGCACACGCTGTTTATGAGCAAATGAGCAAACAGGTGTAGAGAATTAAGTAGCTGTTTCCAGATCAGTCAGTGGTGGGCAGGGATGGGAAGCCAGGGAGGTTAACCCTAGAGCCTTGGCTTTTAACCTCCCCTTTAATCACCTCCAATGTGCCCGCTAAATAGCATCTCCCTTTCAACTCTGGCAGTTGCAAAGGACTGAATTCTCATGTCAACTTCCTTCATCACTTGAAATAGTCAATAGAGCTGATGGTCTGCCAGGGGCCAGGGCATGTTGGTGCTCCAGTGACCCCAAAGGAATGGGATCCACACATCTAGGTCTGCCTCTTGCCTGGTTTAGCACAGCTATGGCTTGGAGACTTCAGATTAGGCCTCTGCCCATGGATAACGGCTCTGTTCAACACCATACTTCTCTACCACCACCTTGGGGGCCAGATCGACAGATGAGGCCTCCTCTGTCTGAGGCATATCTGCCAGCCCGAGGAACGACACTGACCGTGAGCCACATTGTTGATGCAATCGATGTATTCTGCCCCTTGTTCGTCATACAAGTACTGTCCTTGGCCTCGGACGATCTTAACAGGATCCTCAGGGAAAAAGAGTCTGCAGGAAGAGCTGTGGAGACAAGCAAGGAGCTGTCAGCCATATGTGAAGCCTCCCTACTCCCCCCCACCCCCCACTGCTCCCCAAGCGTGGCATCCACCCACCACTTCACTAGAAAGGACAAAAGTTTGAGGGTACAAGCCTCCCCACGCCACAGGAAAAGCCCTCAATAACGCTGGCCAGCAGCCCAGGGGCCCAGCCGCGGCCCACCGGCCCGCGGGGAAGCCAGCCCCAAGCTCCCCCGGACAACCCCGTCTCAGGCCCAGGGCCCGGCTTACGTGCGGCCCTCCTCGGGGCCTAGGCCCCCCCCCCTCCAGCCCCCCACTCCCTTCGTCTGAACTTTCCACCCTCCAGCCGGGCCCTGGTCATGCAGAAGGGCCGCCACTGGGCGCGGTCGGGGGGCAAAGGTCATTCCTTCAGAAAAAGGGGGTGCAGAGGCCGCGGAGGGGAGGGAGGGGGGCCGCAGTCGGGATCGAGCGCCCCGGGCGCACCCGGCCTGGGCCCAGGCGGGACTGGGACGTCTCGGGCTCCTCCGCGCGCGCGCGTGTGTGTTCGTGCGTGCGTGGCTGCGTGTGTGCGCGTGCACCTCCCGCGCCACCCCCGCCGCGGTTGGTACCTGAGGAGTCGCCGTCGCAGTGACAGAGTATCGGTCTTGGCGCGCCGATCCGCGGCCATGGCGCCGCCCGGGCTGTCAGTCAGAGCCGAAGAAGATCCCAGACCCCGCCGCGCGCGCGCGCGCGCCTGGATCTTATCCCCGCCCACGCCCTGGCAGGCTCCGCCCACGCCACGCCTGGCCACGCCCACCCCGCTGCTTTGGCCACGCCCACCCGCGGCTTTGGCCCGCGCTGGAGATGCGCCTTAACCCTGGGGCCTGCAGCCCTGGGCGGATCCCTGCTCCTCTGGGGTTCTTCTGCCACCCGTGGGGTGTGGAGAGCCGGGTTGGAGCCCCACCCCTTACCGATCATCCCCTTGCCCTGGCCTCAGAAACATCTGGGGCCTCTTTCCTCCAATGTCTGCGGCTCTCTCTAACGGGGAGGGGTCTCCACCTCCCTCACCTGGGCCTAGAAGTTACCCAGAAGCTTTCGTGGCTCTGCATCATGATCACCTGCAGGCACTTTACCAACCCCAAGCCTTTTCGCTGAGAGTTACAAGGACTGTTCTGGGCTGAGGTGGAACCTAGGGGAATGGTAAACACCTAGAGATAAGAGCCTAAATTGCCCCTCCAGGCAGGCAACAACAGCACTGACTTTCTGGTCAGACTAGGCCTCACGGGGACATTTCTGAGATTAGGAGCAGCTGAACCACCCCTCTGACTCGGACTAATAGTTTCAGAGAAGTTCTTCCATTTTTGGTGGGCTGGTACTGGGGCTTGAGCTCAAGGTGTAGGTGCTGTCCCTGAAGTTTGAGGTTCAAGGCTGGATCACAGCTCCATTTCCAGCAGGCTTTTGGCGGGTTGATTGGAAGGAAGACTCACCTGGACTTATTCTTGAGTAGCTTCCTGAGTAGTGAAGAGTTATGTGAGCCATCATCAGTGTCCTGGCTTTCAGCAATTATTAAAGAATATTCTTTGTGTCTTATACTTTTTATTTATTTTTTTATTGTGGTAAGATATGTTACAAAATTTACCATTTTAACATTTTTGAGGGTACAATTCTGTAGCATTAAGTACATTCTCACATCACCATCATTCATCCAAAGGACTTCCACATGGCTTCCCAAACCCAGGAAAGTGTTGTGTTTGGAACTGTCATGCCCAATGGAACTTGACTCTCATTACTAAATTAACCAAGAAAGGCTAATTGCTTGTGGCCTATACTCCTTTTCTGAGGTCCAACCCCCAGCTTCATGTATGTATGAGTGGGATTCCAGTCAGTGTTTTCAGTATATTGGCCCGTCCACCTTGGTGGTGAGACACAGACCACAGAGCTGGCCTGGGTCAGCTCAGAGCACTCAAATATTACTTCCTGTTGAGGATAAGCAATGGGAAGGGTGTAGCCAGGCCCAGCTCTCATCTCCACCGCTCCTAGGATGTCCAGGATTAAGAGGAGATACAGATAGAAGTCAGACCAGGTAGGGTCATATCCTGGGTCCAGATTATCTATAGCTTCACCTTGTTGCTGCTCAGATAAAACCACCCCAAAACTCCTTTTGGTCTCTGGTCTCCGGCTAAGTAAACCTCTGTTATCTCATATCTGGCCTTCAAGGTGACATTAGTGGCCAAGAAGGCACAGAATGAGTGTAAATGGCTGAGTGAGACTTGAACCTCGGACCAGTGTTTCTTAGGCAATCTCAGTGTTATGATGCATCATTGCATTAACAGACAAAAGGTGCTTTTGCTTGGGTCCTTTGAGTCAGAAGACTCAAACAAGCACCTTTGTGTAGAAGGCAAACTGCCCCTCCAACAGGCAGTACCTTAGAAAACCTCATTTCTGTTCGGTTCTACTAATAAAAAGAATAACAATTTTCCCTGAACTCCTCCAAGGACAAAGACTGAGCTAATGACTTGGGGCTGTTTTAACTCTGCATACCTTTCTCCCCCCTGGTCCCCAAGCCTTCTTAACCTGAGAACAATATCTGTACCTCTGAAGACAGCTGAAGATGTGCTCAAGTGCTGTCTTCCCCTGGCTGCCATGTCATAAATCTCCTTTTTCTGCCCTTCACCACGTTTCTTTATTTGGCACATGAGGGTGAATGGCTAGCTCTAACTTGGGATTCCTTGAAATCTGGTTTCAACTGGACATCCTTGCATTTGAGATACGCGCTAACCCCAACCCTGCTCCCTGAATGCCAGGAGTATTCCCCCAATCAAGTGACAAGCCAAAGCATGCTTGCATATCTAGTGGTACTGTAGGGATGGGCAAGAAGCTTACCTGGGTAAGCTGGCTTTCATCAGTGGCTCTAATGGTTAGCTTAGCTGCCACGGACCACAGCAGGGTGGCAAGAGGTGGTTTGACAGAGCTCCTCCTCTTGGGATGGTGGTCAGAGGCTCAACTATGAGTCAGAGTGCCCTCCAGGCCCAGACTGAGAACCTTGCACAAATCGCTCTTCCAAAGCCTCTCACCCCCACACTCAATTCATCAAGACTCTGCATGGCTGTAATCTTGAAGTTTGCAGGCCTGAGACCACAGGAGGGCAGCAGTGAGCCAAGAATGGCCACATCCTGTCACCAGGACACAGGGAAGGGACTTCTCTGGATGACTGAAGCCAGAAACATGTGGCTTCTATCTCCACGAAGCTCTCATTGCTCGCCACCCATTATCCTGGGGCCATTTAGCAGATGTCATGCCCTGCCAAATGCTTTTGAAAAGATAGTACATCCAAGAGCTTTGGCCCTGTCCTAGGCCTTGCCCCTCTTTCCTGGCTGTGCATCCCTGGCCAGGTGAGTACCCTCTCTGAGCTTCAGTTTTCCCATATGTTAACTGGCCGTGGTGATGCTGGTGAGGGGACCAAAAAGTTCCTGGGTGGAGAATGAATTGTCAACTGAAGGCTACTGTGGACCTGGGACTGGGGCTTGAATGCTGGTCCTTTGCCATTGCTTGGCTTTTTTTTCTGTTCATGGCGGGTGTTCTACCACTTGAGCCACACCTCTGCCGCTGCTTCTTTTTTACTGGCTAATTGGAGAGAAGAGTCTTATGGACTTTTCTGTCTGGGTTGGCTCTGAACCATGGTTCTTTTTAGAACTCAGTCACCTGAGTAGCTGGAATTATAGGCATGGACCGCCCAGCTCACAGTCTGGGTTTTAAGCATTGTGTCCCGTTTTGTGCAGGAGGGACAGATGGCATCTTCTAAGATGGCCGCCACAAGGTCAGATCTACTATTCCACATGTTCTCCTTTGAATGGGCTGTTGACACTCCTTACATTACCCCTTAGGCTGGAGTAGGCTTCTAACTCTGGCAGAAAGAGGTATCATATGACTTTGGAGGTTTGGCTGTGGAAGGTGACATGGCGTTGACTTGCTCTAACCTGGTTCATTCACATCGGAATGCGGCCACCGTGCTATGAGGAAGTGTGAGCCTCAGGAAGGCCACAGCAAGGTAGCCTGGACACCTTGGCCCTCGCTGACAGCCACCATTAACCATCAGATGAGAGAGAGTTTGAGCAAGAATCACCCAATGGAGCCCACGAACCCCCAGAACTGAAAGAGAGAAACAGAAATGCGCAAGCTTTTACAGCCAGAAGCGTTGGGTGGTCTGAGATGCAGCGGTCACCCTGGAAAGTAGAGGAGAGGACCACCCAGAGACTACCAGACAGCAAGTCACTGGCCTGAGAGCTCTGTTGGCATGTGGCAGGACCAGGCCTTGAACCTGTATCCTTCTAACTCCCCGTTGGTCTCTGTCCTGACCCCTCTACCCTGACATCCTGTGGTTTCTGGCATGGCCCTGCCCTACAAAGTCCCCCTACTTTCCTCTGTGCACCCCACAACAGCCAGGATGAAACTTTAGTCATGGGTGTCCAGGGTACTTCCAGGACAGGTCCGCCTGGACACACATTTGTGGTTTACTACACAACTTACATAGAAAGCGGAGAGAAGGGGTTGGGACGGAGTTGGGTGCTGGGAACCTTTGGAAGCGGGGGACGTGTGTGTCAGGGCACAGAGAGTGTGTGTGTGTGTGTGTGTGTGTGTGTGTGTGTGTGTCTGCAGCAGACCTCCTGCTTAGGCAGGGACCAGCCTGATCTGTACACCGCATCCAGGATCCCCTTTCGACCAGACTGATCACAGAGTTCTGGGCCAATGAGACCTCAAGCTTCAAACCACAGACGTGTCTTCTCAGGGCTGGCCAGGTCCCTTCCTGTCCCTGCCCTGGATGAGGTGACAGAGACACGAAGTGGCAGCCAGTGCAGTCTAGGACCGTCCACGTCCATGTTCGGGGATTGCTAGGTCCCCCGCAGTCATGGCCTTCATGGCCCTCTCTCAAGAGCACAGGACACAGGCCCCCAGGCGTTCAGGGCTTGGGGAGGGGGAAAGGTAAGTCTTCTCAGGATGCTTTCCACTTGCCTCCTCCTCAAGTGCTGGGGAGAGAGTCTTGTCCTGCCCGGGTGAACCCAGAGTTCTGGGTGCACTTGGCTATGGCTGAGTCTGGAGGCTGGAGGGGCCAGCGCAGCTGCTGCCCCTGACCAAAGGGAGTCTTGCTGGATACAAAGTGACCCGGATGTTGGGACTTGAGGAAGCCCGCACTGTCAGGGCAGTGGGCCAGCTGTGGGTCTGCGAATCAGGTGACTGGAGGGTCCAACCTGACTAGGTCTTTCCAGCCTCGCCTGAGCCTGGCGTCTTCACCTTCGTCTCCTGGGAGAGCCAAGTCTGGTGGAGCCCTTCAAGTACACAGTCCCCCCCCCCCCCAGACTAGCCATCGGCTTTCCTGCCAGTTTTATGGGCTGGTCCTTTGGGGCTGGGTGACACAGTTCAATGTCACAGGCCACTGGTGGCACATCCCATGAAAGAAGATCAATATATTACTGTTTCATTTTTTTACAAAACTTAAAAAAAAAAAAAAGGCCACACGGATCTATATAGGTTGTGAGCGGTGTCTTGAGGATCACTGGAAAAAAAGAGGAAAGACTTAAGGTGACAAGAGGCCTAGACGGGTCCCTGTGGCCCTCTGCCTCTTTCCAGGCCACCCTGTTCGGGCATCCCCTCCCCTTGCCCATTTCCTCAGGGACAGGTGTGACCCCGCCTCACCCACTCACAGTGTAGCACGGACGGAGTCAGTCACGGAGCCCTCAGGAAGCCCTGCTGGCTTTTCACTGACTGGCTCAGATGCCATGTGAGATCCTCGAGTCCCTCCCTCCTCCCCCACTCCTCCAGGCTCATCCCTGCAAGGTACCTTATGCCAGCAGCCAGGCACGGGCAGCCCATCAGGGCCCTGAAAAAGAAAGAAAGATTCAGTGACCAGCACAGAGACTGCTCCCCTCTCCACGTCCCACACGCCTGTCCTAACTCTATAAGGAGATACAGCCAGGCAGCTGCCACCCAGGCAGGTGTGGACATCTCCTTCTGTCCACCAGGGGGACACGCTGGCCCCTCGGGCACTGGTCCTGAGCACATTCTGACTGCTAAGGGCAAGGCTAGGACACTGTTATGTAATAGGCCGGGCTTGGGCACAGATGCCTCTCGCAGGGTTATGAGAACAGCTCTGGAGGTGGCTTCTCTCCAGCTGAGATGGGGGGTGGGGGGTGGTGCTCGGGTTCTCAGGGAGGGACACTGGGCATGGGAAGATGGCTAGTCTGGGGGGGGTAGTAAAGCCATCAGACATGGGCAAGGGGGGTAGATAGGTTTCCTCAGGCAGCCTGGAGAGAGGAGGTGGATGGGGACAAAGTGCAAATGATCGTGGGGCTCACAGGGGGGCAGAAAACACTCCACTCTGCTCCAAAGCACAGACACACATAATCGCCCCCCCCCCCACGTGCACACCAGGGACACGGGCTGCAGACCAAAGAGGGGGTGGGGTCACGGGGCAGGATGGACCGGCAGGCAGAAGGAAGGAAGGAGGGGCAGAGCTGGAGGGACTCAAACAGCCCCGCTGGCCCAGTGCAGCACACACACACAGCACACAGCAGGCCAGGCTGCATACCGCAGGGCAGGGCCCGCTGCCCCGGGCTGAGCCCCGAGAGCCAGGGGCCCCTCTCTTGTTTCCACATCGAGGATGGTCCTGTTTCAAAGACAAAAGCTCACTGACTTGCAGAAAAGTCTCGATCCCACACCTAGATCTGTAGAGCCTCCTGACCACTCTACGTGCCTTTTTTGAGATAGTCTTGCTATGGAGCCCAGGCTGGCCCTTGAACTCCCAAGCCTCTACCTTAGCCTCCTGAGGGCTGGGATTACAGGTGTTTGGTGCTATACTCAGCCTGCCTCTTCTTTTGTGGGCACCGATCTCTTCTGCATTTTGTGGCTTTTTCTCATTGGCTTCTGGGGTTACCACCTCTCTTGTATGGAGGAGAGGGGCACATTTACACAGAGGGGCAAATTTAGGGCTTCATTGGGGGCCAGAGGATTGATAAGACCTTTGGCTCTGGTCACCTGCATAGTCTCCAGGCCCCTGCTGGGGTGGCTGGGTATAAATATGAACAGTTTAGTGGAGACACCCAGTTTTGTTTTTTTTTTTTTGTTTTTGGTTGGTTGTGGGCCTTGAACTCAGTGCCTGGGCACTGTCCTTGAGCTTTGGTGCTCAAGGCGAGCATTCTACCACTCTGAGTCTCAGCACTACTTTCTGTTTTCTGGTGGTTCATTGGAGATCAGAGTCTCACGGACTTTGCTGCTCAGGCTGGCTTTGAACTACCATCTTCAGATCTTAGCCTCCTGAGTAGCTAGGATTGCAGGTGTGAGCCACCAGCACCTGTATGTCCCCCTCCTCTCCCTTATCTTTTCTGAGCTCCACTGGAGGAGCCTGACATGTAAGTCCCCTGCCTTCTAGAAGGCAGCAATGGATCTCTGCGGGTTCCACGCACTGGATCTGGGGGACTACTGAGGCCTATCACAAGGGGGTAGGAAAGAAGGTAAGCCGGGAGAAGGAAAAGCACTGGACTTCAGGATTACAAAGGACGGTGGGCTTCCCTAGACTGGGAAACAACACTTCTGGGAAGGAGAAAAGGGGAATAAGAGTCCTTTCTGAGATCCAGATAGCCATGGCCAGAGATGGGGGGCTTGTAGGCTCTGTCTGCAGAGCAACTTGTCTGTGACTGTCAAACTTCCCTCCCAGCCCCCAGCTTCCTTCCAGGGCACCCCCAAAAATACCCACAATGCCGTGTAAAGCCTGGCCTGGCCCTTCTCTACTCTTAGCCTAAAATGGCCCAAGACAGGCGCCCACTTGAGTTGCTCTGAGACTGTGTAAATGGGGGACCCCAGCAAACAGATTCTGCCCATGACTGGGCCTCCACCTCCACACATTGCTCCGTCCTTCAGCCAGGCTGATGCTGGGTCAGGGAAGAGCGAGAGCCGCTGTCACAAATGAAGGCTGTGGTGGCTTGGAGCGCTGTCCTGTTTGGACACCTACCACAGGACATGGCTGGTCGAGGCCTGGAGGGCCCGGCTCTCCCTTCTGACCCTTTACTCCTTTCCGGCCGGGGACACCCCGTTCCCCCTGCACAAGAAGAAGGGATGGTGTGTTAGTCATGGTTGCCAGTCTTCAGTTCTTGTAGCCACAAAAGCCCTAGCCCCAGCTTCAATCCTGTCCTGCCTTGCTCATCCTCGCTCTGCCCCCAGCTTCTCTTGGCTGGCTTCTCCTTGTCCCCAACTCCTGCATCCCTCCCTCTTTCCCCAGGGCCCTCACCTTCTCTCCACGTTCACTTCGTTCACCTTTCTCTCCTCGGGGTCCAGGGAAACCCTGGCAAAAGGATTAAAGGTTAAACCTGAAAATGAGAGCCAGCCACGGTGGCTCACACCTGTAATCCCAGTGACTGGGGAGGCAGAGGTCAGGAGGATTGCAGTTTAAGGCCAGCCAGGGCAAAAATGTAGGGAGACCTCATCTCCATAATCTGGGCAGGTGGGTCACCACTATAATCCCCACTCTGTGGGAGGCTGTAGGGAGAAGGATCATGGATCATGGTCTGAAGCTAGCCAGGGCAAAAAAAGAAAAAAAAGCACAACAGTGTGGTACAACATTCATTTGTCCTTCCCTCTGTCTGTCCAGATACCTAACCAAAGCTGGGATGCTGGGGACAGAGGCAGACTGGCACTGGTGACAGAGAAATGGATTTGACATGTTCTGGTCTGCCTTTGTGTCTACTGGGGCAGATCATGGAGGGCAGCGTAGTAGGGATAGGGCTGGTTTTTAAATCAAAATGGGGGTAAAAAGAAACGTGGGAGCAAGGTTGATATCTGCGTGGAGTCCTGCGGGGAGAGGCCCAGGGGGCTTTCCAGGCAGAGAAGCTGGACAAGGCTTTGAGATGCCACCCTGAGCGCCCAGGCCTCCTACAAGGTAGCCATGGCCACTCTCCTCCTCCTCCTCCTCCTCCTTCCCCTCCTTCCCCTCCTCCTTCTTCCTCTCTTCCTCCTCCTCCTTCTCGTCCTCCTCATTCTCCTCTCCTCCTCTTCTTCTTCCTCCTTCTCCTCTTCCTCATTTTATGCCAGTTCTGGGACTTGAACTCAGGGCATGGGTATTCTCCCTCACCTTTTTTGCTCAAGGCTGGCACGCTATCACTTGCACCACAGTCCACTTTTGGCTTTCTGGTGGTTAATTGGAGATAAGAGTCTCACGGACTTTTCTGCCTGGGCTGGCTTTGAACTGCAATCCTCAGCTCTCAGGCTTCTGAGTAGCTAGGATTACAGGCAGGAGCCATGGGCAGCGGGCACATGGAAATTCCTTAGGCCCATCCTGGGTCAGACCCTGATGGGGTTCAGTGTTGTGGCTGTGTCATGGGTGGAACCCAGCCCTCTCAGGCAAGCACCTCCACCAGCACTTTCTTTTGGGCCCACACTTGCTCCCCAAGGTAATGTTCTTGCTTTCAAGTCCAGGGAAGTCACCAGAATTCCTGCAGCCTTACCTCTGGTCACATTTCCCTCACAAGAGCAATGAGATTGTTCTGGAAGCACCATCCCTCACCACAACCCACTGATTCCACTCAAAGACCTGCCCTGGACAGAGCCTGGTTGATGGAGACAGCATTCCTATGGCCCAGTGTTGCTCAAAGACAGCCAAAGGCTTTCTTCTAGCAGGAGAGCAGGACCATTCTTCCTTTGTGCATTTGGGTTTTGCAAGATGCAGGTCAGGAGCTGCTGGCTCTCCTTTCCCTCCAGTGATTCCCACCCAGGGGAAGCAGAGGCCGCAGGGGGGTGGGGTGGGGAAAGTGGCCTGGATGCATGTGATGAACCTCCAGACTTTTCAGTTCTGAGTCATTTCAAACTAGTTTCAACTAGGTTTTGTTTATGCTCTGAAACCAAAGGATGCCTGACAGAATCAACACCAGGCTCAAGCTTCCTTTGCTCTCTTTCCCACAATACCGCCCTAGCTGGAGGCTGCAACAGGCCCCTCATTGCTCTCCCCAGCTCCCTACTGCAAGAAGTCATCCATTCATCCATCCAACATCCATCCATTCGCTTGTCCATTCACTCATCGATCTACCATTCACCATCCATTATCCATCCGCTTATTTATTCATTCACTTACCAATCCATCATCCCACCCATTCACTTATCCATCCATCCATCCATCTATTTGTCCTCTATCATCCATCCCAGAACACTTGCTCTAGTCTGTGTCCTGGGGGATGGGGGTCACAGATTGGGTTCTACATGGACAATGGGGGCAGAGGACACACACACAGAAGGTGTCTAGTTACTTACATCGAGTCCGGGCTCCCCAGGTCTGCCCTGAGGAGAGACATAGGAGAGGGGGAGTGTGAGGAGCTGGGAGGGGAGCACAGCTTCTGGGGAGACCATTCCTGTGGCATGGGGGGGACAGGGAGACCCTCTGAACATTCCAGCAGAGACAGACGGTATCACACAGTCCCAGGCCCCTGGCCCTGTGAGGTGCCGAGACCCAGCAGGGTACAGGGGTTGAACCTCAATGGCTCTTCTTGCCCACAGCTGGGGTGGGTGGGGTGGGGTGGGGTGGAGAGGTTGGCCAGATCACGTGTTACCTTCTCTCCTTTGGTTCCTGGCAGTCCAATAAGGCCTGGTGGGCCAACAGGTCCCTGGGTCAAAAAGGAGTAGGTGAAGAGGCATGGCAGAAAAGGGGTGGGACATCTTAGTGACAAACAAGGCTCAGGACACTCACAGGCAGGCCATGGGGTCCTCTCTCGCCTGGTGCACCTTTCTCTCCTTTTGTTCCATCCAAGCCCTAGAAGCCAATGGGGAAACTAATCAAGGAGTGAGCAGGACAGGAGAAGGGAGCTTGGGGCCTATGTGGAAGCCAGGGTGTTCATGGAGAGGGCTCGGGGGGGGAGGGGGCGTAGGGACAGACTCCAGCTTCCTCCCTGGCAAGAATGGAGGCAGTGTTGGGTGTGGACTGTTCCCTTTTAAAACATTAAAAAAAAAAAAACTATGTATTTTGTTAAGAGCTGGGCACTGGTGGTTCACGCCTGTAATCCTAGCTACTCAGGAGGCTGAGATCGGAGGATGGCAGTTCAAAGCCAGCCTGAGCAGCAAAGTCTGTGAGACTCTTTATCTCCAATGAACCACCAGAAAACAGAAAGTGGCGCTGTGGCTGAAGTGTTAGAGCGCTGGCCTTGATCTGAAGAGCTGAGAGACAGTGCCCAGGCCCAGAGTTCAAGTCCTAGGACCAAACCAACCAACCAACCAACCAACCAATCAAACAAACAAAAACTTTGTTAAGAGCAAGATAAATATAAAGAGGCTTGAGCTTGAGGTGTGTGTGGAGAGGAGTTTGAGGTCACAGAGAGGAAGGGTGGAAGAATACAATCATAACACACACACACACACACACACACACACACACACACACACATATATATATCCAGAACTAGAAAAGTTGAGGGGATGAGTAGAGGTGGGCAGGATGTGGGAGAAAGATGGAGGGGGTGATCTCCATCAGGATACATTGTACTCATCAACTGACATGTAGAACTGTAACCCCTTTGTTCAAATACTTAAAGTCAATACCATTATAAAATGTGTTATGAGAGGAGGCTCGTGAGACATGTTCCCTTTGACCACACAGGGGCTCCCTCAGCCATGCTGGGGGGCTCTGGTCACGCACAGACAAGGAAAGCACGCAGAAGGGCAGGGCCAAACTCAGAGGCACAGATGGGCAGTGGCAGGCTGGCTATCTCTCCGGTCCCTGGGCTGGGCCTTGGACCAGGTCCCTGACAGCAGCTGTCTGTGCTGAGTGAGATCTGTGGAGGCCTTGGCTCACACGCTCGGCCTTAGGTTGGGATTCCATAACTCAGAGCAACCCCACCCATGCCCTAATCTCACCTTTGGGCTGGGGAGACATGAAGGTGCTCTGCCCTTGGGGTAATGAGACAGAACCAGACAAGGGATGAGGCCAGCTGGCCTCCCCTTCTCTGCCTGCCTCGCTGGGACAGGCACACGGGTAGACCACACTGGGGGTTTTAAGGGCAGACAACATGGCATTGTGAAACTGACATCAAACCCAAGACTTCACTTGGTGTTTAGGCCTCGGGCAATGGAGAGACAGATGTGCATGGGCAAGCGGCGGGTGCAGAGAAACGCAGGAAAGGGGTGAGATGGGCCAGGGAAGACACAAAGTGGACCCCCCAGGAAGAAGTGGGGGAAGGAAAAGAACAGAGCCCCAAGCTTTGTGGGGGGAAGGGTGGCACTCAGGACATCAGTTCTGGTCCAAGGGGGACCATCAATTCTGCCCGCTCAATGATCAGCCCTGGAAGATTCAGGATTGGGTCATATTTCATACTTCACCCATTAGCAACTCCCCCCCCCCTCCTTTGTGCTGGTCCTGGGGCTTGAACTCAGGGCCTGGGCGCTATCCCTTGACTTTTTTGGTGGCACAAACTCCACTTCTGGATTTTTGCTGGTTAATGGGAGATAAGAGTCTCACAGATTTTCCTTCCTGGGCTGGCTTTGAACCACAATCCTCAGGAGTAGATGTGAGCCATTGGTGCCTGGTTCAGCAAGGCTCACTGGGATTCTGAGCAAGAAGAGGGGGTCTCCACTCACTCACCTTGGGACCTTGGATCCCCTGAAGGCCCTGGAGAAGGAGAATGCAGGTCAGAAAGCAGATGGAGAAGCTGTCCAAATGGGTACAAACTTCAGGGCAGCACCATCCTGGTACAGGGACCATTCACTGGTCCCCGTGGCCCTGTCCCTTCCCCCAAGAGGAACCCTGGCCTCCCCTCTGCTACTGCTCCAAGGTTTAGGTCTACTGCCTTCTTGGTAAATAAATAAACAGTGTCCTTACCATGGGACCTGGGGGGCCTGGGGGGCCTGGGGGGCCTGGCTCCACTATGATCTGGGCCTAGGAAGGGTGAGAGATGGGTTTGTTACCCCTTGCCCTGCCATCCCTCAACTACCCACGCACTGGAGCGCACCACAGGCTGGGCATCAAAGCTGAGTCGTGGGTATGGCTCCTTAGAGCCCCACCAGCTGGTCTTCGGGTCCTTGGATGGGCCACACAGCCAGAGGCTCCATTGCTCCCCTCCCCCACTGTGCTGGGTTTGGCCTTTGTGTCTCCAGGCTCAGGGACCCACCAAGCCTGGGGCTGATCCCTGAGCCTCAGTATCCTCTTACCAGTCTTTCCTGCAGGCTTTCAGAGGCTGACTCTCCCTTCTCTCCCTTGGGGCCGTCAGCACCCTGCAGGGTAGGGTAGGGTAGTCTGTGAGTCCTTCCTACTTAACGTACAATCATCCCTCATGGCAACCAGCTACCTCCCCCCCCACCCCCTCCCCGCAGCATCGTCTTGTAGGAGTGGAAAATGATTATTCCTATGCTGGTAGCAGGGAAACTGAGTCTGTCAGGGGGGGGCACTGGCGAGAACCTCGGTGGCCAAGTCCAGCTGAGTGCAGGGACTCTGCCCTGCTCCACTTCACCCCTGCCCCTAGTAGTCACCAGTGGGCGCACATTCTCAGCAGTAACTCCAGGATTGGTCACTAGGTGGGGCCCGATCCAGCCACTCACCGGGAGGCCCGACAAGCCCATCTCGCCGGCTTCCCCTTTGGCTCCGGCTGGCCCAGGCTCTCCTGGGTCCCCTTTTGGTCCTTTGGGACCCTGCAAACCACCAGAACAAGGAGTCAGTGGGGATCAGCAGGCATTCTTTCTTCCCTCACCCCAGTGAGGTTCCTGAACATACTCAGGGCTAGGCTGGAGCGGCCCCCGCCCTGCCCCTTTCTACTTAACAGGTCCCCACCTCCAGTCCAGACAGCTTGGGAACCTTGGCTAAGTTCATAGGGGAGCTGGGAAGGGGACCCCCACCACCTCTGCCTCCTTGTATGCTTGGGGTGTAGGTAGCTTAGTCCCTGTGGGACTGGAATGGCCACTCGGGGGCATTCAAGGGGACCAAGTCTGGGCTTCCATCTCAGGACCCGAGTTACGGCTTTCCATCACTCAGCCTTTTAGGTCCAAGATGTACCACAGACTAAGGCAGTGCGCCAGTGGCGTGGCTCCTGTCTGTCATCCTAGCTATTCAGGAGGCTGAGATCGGAGGATCACAGAAGATAGCTGGGGCAGAAAAGTCCATGAGACTCTTATCTCTAATTAACCACCCAAAAGCTGGAAGTGGAGCTGTGGCTCAAGCGGTAGGACATTAGACTTGAGGGGTAGCATCCAGGCCCTGAGTTCAAGCCCCAGGATTGGCACATACACAAAAAAGACACCGTTAGCTATCAAATCATATGTGCATTATCAGTGTATGCTCTCACACATGGGTACACCTACAGTAAGACTAACAGTGACTGGCAGGCTATGAATGGATTTGTACATTCTCTAGTTCACAAGGTGGAGACAGAGATGTGCAGACCTTTTTGTGTTGTTGTTGGTAGTGGGGCTTGAACTCTGGGCCTGGGAGCTGTCCTTCAGCTCTTCAGCTCAAGGCTAGCGCTCTACCACTTGAGCCACAGTGCCACTTCTGGTTTTCTGGTGGTTAGCTGGAGATGAGTCTCATTGGCTTTCCTGCCTGGGCTGGCTTTGAAACCATGATCCTCAGATCTCAGCCTCCTGAGTAGCTAGGATGACAGGTGTGAGCCACGGGCAACTGGTGAGATGTGCAGACTTCAGAAGGTCAGCACCTTGCTGAAGTGCTTACAGGAGTTCAGCTCCAGACTTCATACTTAAAGCCACCCTATCCTGTGGCCTCTCTCTTACCCCTTTCCAGAATGATGTCTTTGAGACATCTACCTGTGCAGCTGTGCATGCACATGCATGCACACGTGCACACACACACACACGCATACATGCACACAGTGGATTACATAGCACCAATATCAGCAAGGAAATAAAAGGCACAGAGACCTTCTCTCCATCAATTCCTGGGGCGCCGGGCAATCCGAGCTCACCCTGGGAGAGGACAGAAATTAAAAGGAGTTAGGGACACACAGTGAGACCGAAGGAGGAAACTCTTAGGAGAGGAACACAAAAGTGCAATGCCTATGTGTATCTGATCATACAAAATAATATTTATAGAAATGAACTCCAGGAAATGGAAAAAAGGCTGTTTTTTTTTCTTTGTTGCTGTTTTTGTTTTCTTTTCCTTTTGTCTTGTTTGTTCATTCATCTGTCTTTGGGAAAGGTAAGCAGGGGCACAGAAATCGATGGACAAAGAGTGAACAAATGCAGCAGTGCTACTCACTGGACACTATGCTGAAAATAAACTATACAACTCGTGGATGGAAAGAGGGAAAAACTGGGAGAGAGCGAGGGAAGGGATGACATTGTCCAAAAAGAAATGGACTCATAGCCCAGCGCTGGTGGCTCACGCCTGTCATCCTAGCTACTCAGGAGGCTGAGATCTGAGGATCACAGCTCAAAGCCAGCCGGGGCAGGAAAGTCTGTGAGACTCTTATCTCCAATAAACCACTAGAAAACTGGAAGTGGCACTGTGGCTCAAGCAGTAGAGCGCTTGCCTTGAGCTGAAGAACTTAGAGACAGTGCCCAATCCCAGAATTCAAGCCCCATGACTGTCCAAGAAAAAAAAAAGTACTCATTACCTGATTTAGGTAACTGTGACCCCTCACCTTCATAATAGCAATAATTGAAAAAAAAGGGAAAAAATTCTTGGGTAAAGTCTTTCTCCTGAGACACCTAGGAAGCAGGTTGAGGAGTAGGCAGCTACAGATGTGGACATTTATGTACAACTTGCCATGATGACCTGCTGGACCACTTTCAGTGTTTCAATGTGTGTCTGAGGCTTCTGTGGGGGGGGGGGGGTGGGAGGAGCTAGCACCCAGGGAAAGAGGCAGTCCCATTGGTTAGGGAGGTATAGGGCCCTTTTCTTCTGAGCCCCAGGAACAGACACAGGAGAGTAGGGCATCGGGGAGTGGCCTTGGAGAGAGGGTTTGGGGACCCTGTAGCAGCATGGGTACTGACCTTGGCTCCGGGCACCCCTGGTGGTCCTGGGGCTCCCTGTGGACCAGGAGGACCCTGAGTGTGTATGAAAGTCAAGCCAGTCAGTGGTGAGTCAGGGCTTTCCCCCACTGCCCACCCAGACCAACACTCGGGGCCAAAGCTTTGTCCAGCCAGACCAAGAGACCTGCTGCCCACTTCCCACTCAGCTTGGACTGATCCCCAGGATGGGCATCAGGCATTTGATAAGATACCACAGTGTTGGGCCCAGAATTCCTCTGTCCCTCAGAGCCCGTCTCCCTGCAATAAGGATTTCTTCACAATACTCTCCTGCTCACAGTTCTGTAATGGCTCCCTACTGTGTTTCCAAGCAAGCTGAAATCTCCCGGTGATGTTCAGGGGCAGCAGATAATCACATCCAGAAAGTGGCCCAGCCCTGCCCTGTCTGTCTATCCTGTGAGTGCTGGCCTTCTGACCCCTGTTCCCTGCTGTCTGCTGTCCCCAGGAGTTCCTCAGACACAGTGACCCCATTTCTAAATGCTGTCCCAACCCACGCTTTTCCACAGGTCACCTGCCTACCACAGCTCATTGCCAACATCCAGGCTCATGCTCCTCACCCGGGCGACACCCCATACAGCTTCCCAGAACCTGACAATCTCTAGTCCTTATCTCTTCCCCTCCTCTTCCCAACCTGCTCCCATTGGTGTCTCCACTGAGATATCACATCCAACTCCTGACTACCCTGCACTTATAGGGCTTCTACCAGCCAGCCCGGGGCACACCATGCATGTGCAGGCCCTCAGGCCACACCACACCACACCACACCACACATCACACTACACCGTGCAGGCCTGGATTGGCCACAGTTACCATCAACATGTACTTCTCTGAGGCCTGTAGGAGATAATTGAATGGAAGCTCAGTGGGGTCACGTGCCAATGTCCGGTGTGCCCTCTGATAACTATTCCACCCCTCACCGCAGCTCTTTCTCTTGGTACCCATGAGCAGCTGGCACTTGACTTCACTCTGCACTGGTCTACACTCACCCCAGGTAGGCCAGGGACTGTGCAGGGATTGGAGGCCACACCCGGCCCAGGGTTCCTGCAATAGCCCTGGCCTCTCTTGTCCTCCATTTCACAGCAGTTATTAGAACATAGCCTTCTGGCCAACGATCCCTAGAAAGGCCTCAGGAGACATTGCTAGGCATAGCAATTGGGAAATACACTGCTTCCTATCCCAGAGAGAGAGAGAGAGAGGAGTTTCCCTTTTTGCTTCGGTCTCTGGGGAGCTCAGGGGTCACATGAGCTGTATTCACAGCAGATCTCTTAGCCATGTGGGGTTCAATACCAGGTATAGAGGCCTTTGTGCCAAGCTGCTCCTGGTTCTTTGTGTAAAGAAGTACAAGACTAATATGTAAAGCAAACCACTGTTCCCTCAGGAATGGGCATTCAGGGTGCCTCTGGGCCTACCAGATTCCTACCTTTAGGGCATCCAAGATCCTGCCATCGTAGTCGATCACCACTGTGTCTCCTTGCTCACCTTTGAGGCCCTGGGGACCCTGAAATAGAAAAGTAAAATTTCCGGGAAGAGCTTCAGTGGTGGGTGCAGCGCTTCTTCCCCTTCCCCAGGAAACAGAGGAGTCAGAAGCTCTTTGGTTCCTGCCCAATGTCAGCTCCTTGCACAGAGTAGAAGATACCAACCCCACACCCAGAGCCTAATCCCTATCCCAGCCACCCACAAGGCCAGCTTGGGAATGCTTGAGGGGACGAGACTTGAGGGGTGACACAGCCAAGGATGGGATCTGGAGGTCAACCTACAGGTCAGCTCTCATGGCTGCTAACAAAAGGTCTGTGTATGGATTTGCTCCTGGTGAGAAGGCCTGGATTCAAGCTCCAGTGCCAGCCAACCCTAATCAATTAAAACACTAAAGAAGGTGCCCAGCTCCTGCAGTTCCATGGCTCCTCTGGGTCCCTGGATCCCTCTGCCATGAGGAGGCTGCTTACCCGGGGCCCCGGGGCTCCGTCGGCACCTGGGTGGCCAGGCTCACCCTGTGGAGATACATGGTTGCTGGTGGTATACAGTTCCCTCTACACCCCTGCCCCGCCTCACCTCCAGTTCCTGCTCCCCTAAGTGCCCATGTGCTAGAGTCCTAACAGCTTATAAACTGGAACCACCTTCCAGGGAGGGGACCCACCATGCCCACCTGTGACCCACAGTGTATGGAGCTGGGGACACGAGGGCCAGGGGACACAGTGGGTAAGCACAGAGCCAGGCCTGATTAAGGCCTTGTCACATACTCCAATCTACTGTCACGGCCCCCCAGATCAGCCTCTGATTGAGCCCAAGATATTACTGATCAGAACCCCCTAGCTAAATCACCTCTCTCTCTCTCTCTCTCTCTCTCTCTCCTCCTCCTCTCTCCCCTCTTTCAACTGGGTAATGGGCCTTCAGGGGCTAGAGCAGAGCACTAATGTCACCTTTAGTCCTGGGCCACCATCCATGCCGCTCTCTCCTTGGGGTCCCACACTGCCGGGCTCACCCTGAAACAGAAAGGCTCCCAGTGATGGGGGTGAGCAGGCCCCCCCACTGAATGCACCGGGTAGGGGGAGGAACTCAGGACCAGGCTATTGCCTTCTAGTCTGGGTCTTGGCACATAGTTGGGGGCAGCTCAGGGTTGAGGAAGGTATACAGATGACACCTAGGTCCCAGCTTGGGGACAGGGCAGAGAGCGGGTCATCTAAGGTAGGAAGAAAGAGGACTTGAGGGACAGATGGCTTGGGGAAGATGTCAGCCCTTCCAGCATTGGGGCCCAAGGCCTTTCTGCTTCCTGCCCTGGCCATCAGCTCCCATGTCCCCCAGGATATAAAAGGGCAGAGATAGGGGCATTGCCAGGCCACTGTGGAAGGAGGGAGGGAGGGGGTAAGGACCGGAGGGGAAGGGCGTGTACATACCTTGGGCCCTGGGAGTCCGGGGGGCCCTGGTTGGCTGGGTGTCCCATCCTCCCCCTGAGGAGGGAACAGCTAGAGTTATAGCCACCACACTTGGACACCTGGCCACACCCTCTGGTGGCCAGATGGCTCCTCCCTTTCCAGCACAATAAACCAATCCTAACACCAGCCTAGGGCAAAAGCAGTTCCTTCCTCCTAGCCTTGTAGGGCAGGGGTGGGGTCAGATCTATGTCTGTGCCCTAGTCCTGAGCAAGCCTCAGCAAGTATGTGTATATAAATAACGGACAGGTGAATGGATGGATACCCATCCATCCATCCACCCATTCACCACAGAGTTGGGAAGATGGAAAGAAATTTAGGGAAAGTTTCCCGGATGGGGCAGTTTGCTGGGAACTAGTGTGTGTGTGTGATAGAACAGATCAGCTGCCCACAGACAGGACTTCCTGGGGACAGAGACACCTTTCTTATGGGGACGCCCTGTCCTCACCCTCTCCGCAGCCCCTGCCCATCTCTCCAGCTACTTCTTGACATTCCGGACAAGAAGCAATTCTGCACGTTTCCCTCACCTTCTCTCCTGCCCATGGTCATGGAATTGAGACTCTCAACCCTACCATGCTTGCTTCAGTGGATAAAGGGAGGGGTGGTGGTGAGGGAGACTATCACTTGAGATGGGGAAAGGGATGAGGAAACTCACCTTGGGTCCTGGGGGTCCCTGAGGGCCCTGGAACAAGAGAAGGGGTTAAACATGATCTTACTTTGTGTGTGTGTGTGTGTGTGTGCGCGTGCTGTTATTGAGACTTGAACTCACAATCCTGGTGCTGTCCCTTAGCTTTTTGTGCTCAAGGCTGGCACTCTACCACTTGAGCCTCAGCTCTGCTTCCAGCTTTCTGGGATTCAACTGGAGATAAGAGTCTTATCGACATCCCCATTCTGGCTGGCTTTGAACCATGATCTTTACATCTCAGCCTCCTGAGTAGCCTGGATGATGGTTGAGAGCCAACAGTGCCTGGCCACATGCGTGCACCCATACACATGCATGTACACACGTAGGCATCCCAGATGTATGTTAGAAAGGGGTTTAACATCCGGGTCTGGGAACTACAGCTCTGCCAGCCCCAGGCCTTGGAAATGCCCCGATACTCACCGTCTGGCCATCTTGTCCAGGCTCTCCCTTGGGACCCTGAGGTAACAGGAGAACAGCACTGAGGGACTCAAGGATGTCACATTAACTGAGCCCACATCTTACAGCTGGGGCTCTAAGTACATAATTGCAATTCATCTTCCCTGAACTCTGCTAAGTGGGGGTTGGTGTCTATACCTCACAGATGAGCAGGTTGAGGCTTATGGAGTCTTGTGTCTAACACAACAAGGAAGGGGCAGGCCGACTGCAGAGCTACCCTGATAGGGGACCCTGGGGCATTTGGGTGGAGGACTGGGTTCTGTCTTGGAAGGGAAGGACAGGCTGGGGTCCTTGGGGTAGGGTTGGGGGTGTTTGAGTGAGGTGTGTGAGGCCTTCAGGGTTTGGGTTAGGACTTCAGGAGGAAGCTGAGTCTAACGAGTCACTATGGGCAGGCAGGGGAAGCGGGGCTGGAGAAGACTGTCTGCGGGGGGGGGGGAGAGTTGGGGTGATGACTGGGGCTGACTGCAGCTAAGGTCAGGGGCTATGGGACTATTTGGGACATCAATCTTGGTTTGGAGTCAGCGTCAGAGTCTACAGGGAGTCAGGATCAGGATCGGGGTAATAGTGTGAATTGGAGGCATGAATCCGGACTTGGGAATGAGTTTGGGGCCAAGGTCTTGTTGGGGGTGAGGAACGAGGTCACTGTTAGAGTTAGGCTTGGTTGGGGCAAGGGACTGGGTTGGGGCTCAGATCTAGAGTCACAGACAGGATTTGAATTGGGATTGGGCTTCAAGTTAAGGTTGGGTTTAGGTTCTGTGTCTGGATTGGGGTGAAGGTTGGGGTTGGGTTTGAACTACGGTTTGAACTGGGATTTGAGGTTGGCTCTGGGGTCAGGGTTTGGGGTTGGGTCAGTACAGGGCCAAAGTTGGGATGCCCCAACTCCATGTCTTTTCTTACCGCTGGGCCTTGAGTCCCCCTAGGCCCGTCTTTCCCCGTGTCACCAGGAGGGCCACGGGCCCCAGGTGGTCCGGGGGGCCCCGGAGGCCCTGCAGCTCCATCTTGCCCTTGATCTCCCTAAAAGACATGGAGTTTAGCATGACCTTAAGGATGAAGGGAAGGAGGCCCAGCCCCCGCCCCCCCGCCCCGCCCCTAAAGCTCCTTAGACATGCAGTCCTTAGGCCTTCTGCTTCCTCCGCCCTTGACACAGGCTGAAAGGGACAGTTTTCAATATGAGTTTCTCCGCGGCCCTACAAAAGGATGGGTTGCTATCTATTGACTTAAGAGGCCCAACAGGACCTTTTATACTCCAAGAAAATGAGCTAACTGTTCAGCACCTGAAGCCTATGATATGGTGTTTAGGAGAGGACACGTGCTAGAAATAGGGAAAAGTACATGTGCCACCCTGCCTTCTTTCCTGAAGGAAACCGAGTGTCTCCTGAAAGAACTTCCTGGTTCTCTCTCTCTGTGCTGGTCCTGGGACTTGAACTCAGGTCCTGGCTGTTTCTCTATCACTTGAGCCACAGCTCCATTTTCAGCTTTTTGGTGGATAAAAGGCTTACAGATTTCTGCTGGGGCTGGCTTCAAACTGCAGTCTCGGCCCCGCTGAGTAGCTAGGGTTACCGACATGAACCACTGGTGCCCGGCTTACAAAACATTTTTGAATGGCAAAATTATACAAATGCACCCATTATGCAAATGCATCCATATAATTACACTGTATAATAGTGTAATAACACTGCATAGAACAAACCACACACTTGAGCACACAAACAAATGAGGGTGTATAAAAATTAGGTCAGTCTGAGTAAGGCTAGTGGGTTGTATGTCAATTTCCTGGCTGTGAGATTAAACAACAGTAAAGCAAGATGCCACCCTTGAGAGGAACTGGATGAAGGGTATGTAGTGTGTCTATTTATTGCACATGCGTGTAAGTCTATAAGCATATCAAGATAAAAATCATGAACCAATATATATTATATATATTAAAGGAAATGCAAGAAAGGGGAATATTGTCTCATGCAACACCAAGTCTTCAACTATTGGATCCAATGTTAGTACTGGGTCAGACCTCAGGCAACCAGGGCCTTCACCTTATGCCCACTCTGCATGTGGGAAACCTATATTATAACTGACACCATGGTGTGTGTGTGTGTGTGTGTGTGTGTGTGTGTGTGTGTGTGTGTACACGTATGCGCATGCCAGTACTGGGGCTTGAACTCAGGGCCTTCCACTCTTGCTTGGATTTTTTTGCTTATGGCTTCTTGAGCCAAACCTCAACTTCTGGCTTTTTCCTGGTTAATAGGAGACAACAATTTCATGGACTTTTGATTCTCAGAACTCAGCCTCTTTTTTTTGGGGGGGGGGTCCGGTCGTGGGGCTGGAACTCTGGGCCTGGGCGCTGTCCCTGAGCTCTTCAGCTCAAGTCTAGCGCTCTACCACTTGAGCCACAGTGCCACTTCCGGCTTTTTTCTTATGTGGTGCTGAGGAATCGAACCCAGGGCCTCGAGCATGCAAGGCAAGTGCTCTACCACTGAGCCACCTTTCCAGCCCCAATCTCAGCCTCTTGAATAGCTAGGATTATAGGTGTGAGCCACTGGCATCCAGCTAATTGGCACCTTCTTACTGCCCAACCCTAGCACAGGGCCCAGTGAAGGGCACATCAGGCCATAGTACCAGTAGTTCAGAGATAATTGCTTTTCTTTTTTTTCTCCAATTGTGGGGGTTTGAACTCAGGGCCTGGGCACTGGCTTTTTCTGCTCAAAGTTAGTGCTCTACCACTTGAGCCACCGCACCATTTCTGATTTTCTGGTAGTTAATTGGAGATAAGAGGCTTACAGTCTTTCCTGCCCCGGCTGGCTTCAAACCATGATCCTCAGATCTCTGCCTCCTGAGTAGTTAGGATTACACTGGCACTTGGCTGAGATAATTGCTATTAACCTTTGTGATGAGCTAAGGGGCCTCTGTTGTTCCATTTTACAGATGCAGTCTGTGGGGGCCAGGGAAGGTACTCACTCCCTCTGGATTAGAATTAGGAGAGGCAGAGCCTCCTTTCACGGTCAAGGTCTCTTTTGGATGACTCTTCATCCGTGGATGAGTTCAGCTTTCTAGCAAATCACACTTAAAACATAATGCCCTTGTTTTCCCAATGAACAACATTTATCAGAAGCCTTGAATGTCTACTACCATCCAGCTTTTCTGATCTGTCTGGCACCATTGAGGTCCTTTTCAAAACAGAACTCCAGACAGAAGGAAAGAAAATTGGCATTATGGTTAGGTCAACTGCCTGTGTAACATTGAACCAGGAAGTATTCCCTGCTACTTCCTGTGGTTCCTTTTACAGCATAGAGGCCCCTCCCAGTTTGGGAGTCAATGTGGCTTGGATTTTACTTATGGAGGCAGAAGGTGGAAAGTAGAGACACTTGGACAGGTCCTGGGTATATGTACAAGTCCTCAGCTTCTTTCTGGCTTAGCCCAACCCCTCCATCCTCAGGGACTGGATGTCTGAGGTTGGACCCTGGAAATTGGGGTGAGTAGGAGAGGGGAACACAGCAAATCAGCAGCCCCCCCCCCTCACTTAGCCAGTCTACCTTGAGGAGGCGGAGATTGTATGGCCTGTGGTCTCTACTTATAAAACCCGCATTGAGCCTTGGGAAAACCATCTGGTCAGGCCAGCAAACAAGGAGTGTGTTCAGAAAGGTCAGGAGAAGAGGGTTTGAAAAAAAAAGTATCACAAGGCTGCTTCTGGAGCCAAAGCCAATTAACCTAGCTCAGAGAAAGGCAGCTGCATGATGAGTATGCAGACTCCTCTGCTCCAAATGTCTGCTCTGTTGGCCCCTCCCTTGGGCTCCTTTGCTGCTGTCCATCAAGATTGGAGGCCTCTTTCCCCACCCCTTGACTCCGTCTCATACTGGGCCTTCCTGCTTTGCAGAATAGCTTCCATATAGCCACCCAGAAAGCAAACATCTTCTCAGCAGCCACAAAATAACATGAGTATTTTTTCCTTTGACTTCAGAGACATACCAGCTTTCATTGTCCCTGGTCAAAGGACCAGCACAGGACAGCTCTGTCCCTCAGAACTGCCCAGATCACAAACATCCCATGATGTTGCCCCTCTGTCCTCCATTTCCCAGAAACTAGACTCAAGGCCATGAATCTGCAGTGCTTGGTCCCAGCCCAGCCTGACTCCAAAGATGGAGGATCCCACCTCAGCCCTCACCCCAATGCCTCCTCTCCCCAGATTGTGCCCATTGTTTCCCAGTGCTTCATTTATCCTCCATTCCATTCCTGTCTCCAGCACATGTAGATGATTGATGGGGGTTTCAGTGACTTCCCTTAAACCTTCTTAGAAACAACTTGGTGTACAACTTCACTTGGCCTTTCCCTGGGCAGCCAGAACCTGCCTCTCAATCTCTGCAGCAAGCAGGGCTTTTTACCCTGGAACATGCTGGAAGCAGCCAGGGAACTTGCTTAGGGCTAAGCGATTCACTGCTGAGACCCTGTGTGTGTGTGTGTGTGTGTGTGTGTGTGTATTCAGTCTCAGTTGAGGAGACCTTGGGTTCAGTACAAAGTACTTCTAAGCTGGTGCTGGGTGCTGGCTGAGGACTACAGTGAATCTCTACAGCACCTTTAAACTTTAAAGATCACTTGTCTGGTAAATGCTAGCGCTGAGCTTTAGGGTCAGCTCTGTTGACCACCTGGCCTTCGCTTTTCCTGGTACCTGCTTTCTTTGGGAAGGTCAGTTTTAGTCAGAGACCAGGGTCATCCCCTCTATGTGGAAGATGCACTCTCACTGTAACGATTCAGCATGGGCCAAACCATGGTGCCTGGAGGCTTTCACACAATGGCCAGGGGCAGAAATGGGGGACTGCCTCACTCCTGTTTCTATAGTGAGCTCTCCAGGAGAGCTGGGATCTAGAGAAATCTAGCTACGCTATATGATAATAACAATACACAAACCATGTAGGGCAGGTGAGGGAGGTGGTGCTCCATTCTTACCCGGGGGCCAAAGTCTCCTGGTGCACCCTGAGAACCAAACACAGGGAAATAAACCACTATGGCTTTTTTTTTTTGAGGCTTCCTATTTCATATTCATCATGTACTCTGTACTTCTACGGACTGACTTCATGCTAACAAAAACAGGCAAACTTTCTGTTAATCTCTATTTCCAATGAGGAAACAAGAGTCACAAAGAGGCCTAGGAAATTGCCCAAGGCCACACAGCTGGAGATCATGTATCCCCCTGATCTACAACTGACTTCTAGCCATTTAAAGCTCCAGCCATGATGGCATAGGCCAACCATCCTCACTTTGTTTTCTCAGACCTTGGACCAGTGAAGGACAACACTGATTAATTGGATATGAATCGATTAATTGTATATTAATTATATACTAAGCCAGCAAGTTTTGGGTCAGTGTGTTATATAATAATAGATACCAAGAACACCAGTTCCCTCTGGCTTCAAAGCTTCTACTTGAATTATTTCTGTGGCTCATTGTCATCTGCCAGAACCAGTGAGAAGACAATCAGCCACCTGCCCACTGGTGTCTTCCTTATTGCCAAAGAACTTTCAGATCTCTCCTGCAATCTTCCCCAGTGCTCTTTGAGATTAGTTTGAATTCACAGATGGGGAAAGGAAGGACCGCAGAGCAGGCAGCTGGCCCAAAGCCACACAGTTGGTGATGGGCCTTTCAGTTGGGATGGTGGCCTGGAACTCTTTACCTAATAGGTCACATCCCAGCGAAGTCTCCTACTCAAAGCTCTTGCTTTGCCATCTCCAAATTTCAAATCAGGGGTAAATGTGGCCTGACCATTCCAGCCCTTCTAGAAGTCTGCTCTGGACACATCTCTCTCTTTTATTTGTATATTTTTTTGGTTGTGAGACTTGAACTCTGGGCCTGGGTGCTGTTCCTTAGCTCTTCAGCTCAAGGTGAGTGCTCTACCACTTGAGCCACAGCACCACTTCTGGCTTTTTCTGAGGAATGGAACCCAGGGCCTCATGCATGCGAGGCAATTATTCTACCACTGAGCTACCTTTCCAGCCCCTGGACACGTATCTTTTTTTTTTTTTCCCCAAGGCTGAGAACCGAACCCAGGGCCTTGCGTGCACCAGGTGGGCGCCCTTCTGCTGGGCTAAACCCTCAGCCCCTGGACACATATCTCTTTAACTCCTTTCCAGACATGTGCCCATTAGGGCGGTCTTGGGCACAAGGGGCTAAAAGCTAGCCCTCTGCCTCTGTCTTCTCTCTCCCAGAGAGAAAGCCATGAACACTATTCAGTTTCCCCAGAACCTTGCTTTCCCTGCTGGGGTAGACTGTGTCCTGTTGTTATGCTCTGCTGCCAGAATTCAGACTCGACCCTCCACGCATACTCCCTTCCCAAATGTTAGCCTCACAACCACCTTAGAAAAGAGGCATTATGTGCCCTATATTATAGACGGGGAACCGAAGGGACTAGGAGGGGCCGTGGCTTGTTTAAGGTCACACCCTGGAAGGTGCGGGAGGCAGGTCTCTGGAATCCTTCATCAGCCCACGGCATCTGGACAAGTCTCCAGCAATACTCACCTTTTCCCCTTTGGGGCCTGGAAGACCCTGGAGAAGAAGATGGAGAAACAACAGGTGTGAGGGAGAAGGACTAAGTTGGTACCCCTTCCCGCTGCCCCACGGATTTGGGGGATGAAGGGCCTGTGATGCTGAGCAGAGCTGTGGGCGGCTGAATGGAAAACTACACACAAGTCTGTCAGTCCTTAGTAAGAACTGCGTTTGCCTTGTGGGAGCTCCCGACCTCAGTCCCCAGCATGAGGGAGATGAGGGACTGGGTGTCACCAGCAAGGGTCCACGGGCAGGAAAAGGGGCACACACACTAGCTACTCCTCTCCTGGGGCACAGATCCTTACTGATTAGCATCTGCCTGGGCCTAGATGCTGGTCAAGAGGTCATTATCCTGGGGTGTTTGTCTGGAATCTGTAAGGTGGGTTGTGACAGAGATTTTTCTCTCCAGAAGCATATTATCTTTTGAGATTAGCAACCTGGCACCCAATCATCCCTGAACTGGTTGGTCATCCATCTATCCACCCAATCCATCCATCCATCCATCCATCCATCCATCCATCCATCCATCCATCCATCCATCCTCCCATCCATTCATCCATCCTCCTATCCACCTATCCATCCATTTTCCTTTCCATCCATCTATCTATCCATCTATCCATTCATCCATCCTTCCATCTATACATCAATCCTCCTGTTCACTCATTCATTCATCCTATTCATCCATCCAGTCATGCATCTATCCTATCCATCCAACCATCCTCCCATCCACCTTCCTCCCTTCCCCCCTTCTCTCCTCCCTTCCTTCCATTTTTGTTTAACTGTGGGGGTGGCCCCTTGTGAACCATGTTGGCTGCAAGGAAACATCTCTTTCAATCCCGACCTTTTATGGAAGGTCAGTTCACAGCATTGTTCATAGTACTCAGAATCCCCAGCCTGGGGAGCTCACCTTGGGGCTGATATCCTTGACCAAGTACTGAGCTACTTACCAGCCTTTATACCATCCTAAATGCAACTGGTTTGCTCATTCATTCATTTATTCATTTAGTCCACCTACATGGTCAGTTCTCTCCTTTTCTCTTTTAATAATTTGGTCTATGAATGAAATCATTCATGGTCTCCTTATAATAGTCATATATTCACCTTCTTCTATAAATCCATGCCTATATAATTATTAATTACTTCACTGGACAATCTATTCATGCATTTATCTGTCTGTCTATCAACCCACTGGTCCATCTCTATCTGCAAATCCCTCCACATCCAGTTGTTCATGTAATTGTGCCGTGTTTCCCAGTGCATCTTGTTCATCTGGCTCAGGATGTATATGGATGATAAGCTCTTGGACCAGGTGTTGAGACTTCCCAGCCTGATGCTCACCCCATAGCAGAGACACGGTGTGCCTGAGGCTAGCTGGGGTCGCTTGCAGACTTCTGAAGGCTGCCTGAGGGCTGGCCACAGACCCCCAAATCCCAAGACAGAAGTGAACCTGCCCATCTGACAGGCAAGAAGGGAAAGGGGCTTATGTCTGCAGTCAGCAGGTGATGGACATACATATATCCAAGTGGCTTCTCTCTCCCCTGAACCAAACTCCCTGGGTTCCCTTTTCTTGGGTGCCCCATGGTCACTCCCACCCCATCCTGGGACCCGCCTGCTCCTCTCACTTACAGGTTTGCCATCCAGACCCAGGGGGCCCTGCAAAACGAGAGAGCAAAGGTCACACACAGGAATGACATTTTCTCCACATCCTATGGCCCCAGTGGCCTATTTAGTGACAAGAGATGAACGCCTGGCCTGAGCCTAGGAGGATGGGGACAACATTTGCATGTTGTCTGCTCCTCACAATCCCTTCCTCTGACCCCCAAGTGTTCTCTAAAGATACCCCTCCCCCAACAGTGCTTGGGTAGGGCTGCTGGTCAAGGTGACAGATGCAGATAGGAGGCTGACACCCGCCCTGGGCCAGAGTGTCATGTCTGGACATCCCATGGTGGGTTTTTTTGGGGGGGCGGAGGGGTTGGGGAAGAAGCCTACTCCCCCGATGAGGTGGAGCCTGAGCTCCTGGGGCCATTAGACAGCTGGAGAGAGAGTCACAGAGAGGAAGGCAGAGCTGAGTTGGAAAGTCAAGGCTGCAGGTGCCCCGCCCACTTGTTTGTGCACCCAGACTGTGTGATTCGCCCAGGCCAGCTTGAGTTGGAGGAGTCCTGGCAGTTCTCTGAGCATCCGGCATGGCTGTGGATTGTGCATGCAAAAGAACACAGCCAAGAGAAGCCAAACAACACCAGGGAAGGTGCTGAGCGCTGGGGCATCTCAGGGGCCTCCAGGGCTTCTGTGATGTCTGTAAAGAGCCAGAGACCACAGCACAGTAACACCTACTAGATACCCTTCACCAGTCCACCAGCGAGCGCTCTCCTCTCTCCTCTTCCCCCCCTCCTCCACCCCCCCCCATGCAGGGCTGCAGGGGATTCTATCCAACGGGGACACAGATTAGAGTTAAGTCTCTGCCAGATCCTGTTCCCCTTCCTATCACTGTCCCCTCAACCCCACAGACCCTACAGCATACCCTGGAGTGCATACTGCCTACCTGCTCAGTTCCCTTTCCCCCCACCCTTTTTGTCGGTTGTGGGGCTTGAACTCTGGGCCTGGGCACTGTGCCTCAGCTCTTCAGCTCAAGGCTAGTGCTCTACCACTTGAGCCACCGCACCCCTTCCATCTTTCCCCCTTTTATACATCTTCAGCATAGTTACTTCCTCTTCTATGACGCCCTCCAGGCTTCCCTACTTTCCAGTTGGTCCACCTAGCCCCATTCCTAGCATGTAGAGTCTGGGAGCTGTCCCTTACCTTCCCCCCCCCCACCCCCAAGGTTAGCACTCTACTACTTGAGCCACAGCTCTACTTCTGGCTTTTTTGGTGGTTAACTGGAAGTAAAGAGTCACAAGGATTTTCCTGCCCAAGCCGGCTTTGAACCTCATTTCCTCAGTTTTCTGTCTTGAGCCATTGGCACCCAGCAAATCAACTTGTTTTCACCAGTAAGAAAGATAATGTGCTACTACAATCCAGGTTGACTCTCCCTAATCCAGAATGCTTGGAACCAGATAGAGGGTTTTGGGTTTCAGGGTTTGGAGTAGCAAAAGCATCCTTCATCTAAAAACCCCAACTCCACAATGCTCAAAAATCTACGCCATGAAACAGTTCACACTCAAAATCACTAAAAATACTTTACAAAATTACCTTCACGCTAGGGGTGTGTGTGTGTGTGTGTGTGTGTGTGTATGAAGCAAATGAATTTCATGTTGATTTCATACATACACAAATACCAGTGGTGGAATATCTCAGAATCTTTAATGCTTGGGACCAGAATCCTTCTTGGAGTTGGAGTGTTCTGGATTTTGGAATATTTGCATTTGCATACTAAGGTATCTTTGGCAAGGGGCCAGAGTCTAAACACACTGTCAATCTATGTTTCACTTTTTTTTTTTTTTTGGTCAGTTGTGGGGCTTGAACTCAGGGTCTGGTGCTGTCCCTGAGCGTTTTTGCTCAAGGCTAGTGTTCTACCACTGAGCCACAGCTTGACTTTTTTAGTTTTGTTTTGTTTTTGGGTCCAGTCATGGGGCCTGAACTCTGGGCCTGGGCGCTGTCCCTCAGCTCTTCAGCTCAAGGCTAGCGCTCTACCACTTGAGCCACAGCACCACTTCCGGCTTTTTTTTTCTGCTTATGTGGTGCTGAGGAATCGAACCCAGGGCCTCATGCATGCAAGGCAAGTGCTCTACCACTAAGCCACCTTCCCAGCCTTGACTTTTGGTTTTTAGGTGGTTAATTGGAGATAAGAGTATCAAGGACTTTTCTGCCTGGGCTGGCTTCAAACCTCGATCCTCTGATCTTAGCCTGAGTAGCTAAAATTACAGGTGCCAGCCACCTGCGTCAGCCTGGTCTATATTTCACGTGTACATTATCCATATAGCCTGAAAGTCATTTTATACACTATTAATAATTTTGTGCTGTGTAGAATTTTCCTCTTGGGATTGTCATGTGGGTGCTCCAGAAGGTTTGGGTCTTTTGAAGCATCTCATATTTTTAGAAGAGGGATGTCAACCTGTCATACCCAGCAGAAAGAAGAGGTTCATATACAGCCTTTGTTCTGGAGGTTCAAAGCGTGGAAAGGCTATATCCAGATTTGGGGTAAGAGGTTGAGAGACTAGAGAGAGACTAGAATGGTTTGAATTTTATTTTTTTCTGTATGTGTATGTGTGTGGTGGTACTGGGGCTTGAACTTAGGTTTCATGCTCTTGTTCAGCTTTTTCTGATCGGGATCAGTGCTCTACCACTTGAGCCACACTAGTCCAGCTTTTTTTTTTTTAATCAGTTGTAGGACTTGAACTCAGGACCTGGGCTTTTACCTTCAAGGCTAGCGTGCTACCACTTTAAGCCACAGTGCCACTTCCAGTTTTCTGGGTTAATTGAAGATAAGAGTTTCATGGACTTTCCTGCCTGGCTGGCTTTGAACCATGATCCTCAGATCTCAGTCTCTTGAGAAGCTAGGATTATAGGCACAGCCCACCAATGCCTGGCTAGTTCAGTTTTTTTTTTTCCCTAGTTAATTGGAGATAGAATCTCAAAGACTTTCCTGCCTAGGCTGGCTATGATTCTCAAATCTCAGCCTCCTGAATGGCTAGGATGACAGGTGTGAATCACCGGTGTCTGGTGACACTCTTTGGGTCTAACAGGTTGGAGTGTGGGAAGAGGGAAGGACAATGTGGGAGGAGAAAACTTTTTACCTGGGGACAGGTGTGGTAGCACAAGCCTATAATCCCAGCACTGAGCAGCTTGAGGCCGGAAGAGGGAGAGTTTGAGACCAGCCTGGGCTACATGGCAAAATCTTGTCTGAAAACACCCAAAACAGAAATACCCTCCCAAATAAACAACAAATAGGGAAAACAGGTGAGAGGCCTTCCTGTCTTACTTTTACATGGCTCTATTTCTGTTATTTCTCTGGTTCTGATTTCACTGGGTGTGCTGTGGGTAAACTCTGGCCTGGCCTGGGGGTTTCTTGGTGGGCTGGTCCAGCCTCTGTCATCTGGTCCATCTGTGTCCTTGAGTATTCTGGTGCTTTCCATCTTTAAGTCTCTGCTTAACATGTCTCTTTCCCCCTGCCCCCTTTTCTACCTAGTGAGGGCTGAGATCCTCAGAGGAGCCCCCTGTGCTGGACAGCCTTCCTGGCCCCAGGGTAGCTGATCTCCTCTTCTCTGCTGCCTGGGAGCTAATGATCCTGTCTGCTGGGTCAAGAGCAAGCCGCTGCTTTTCCTGGTTTGATCCCCCCACCCCCACCCCAGGCTGCCCGGCATTGCGGTGGCCAATGCTCTAGACAATGTGCATGGCCGCTCTGGGAGAGCTTGTGGCGGCAGGAAACCAGGGTAATTCTGAAAATTGAGGTCTAAGTGCTTCCGGCTGGCTGGGGCTTTGGATCTCAGAATGGTGGACTGTGGGGGGGTGTGTGTGTGGCATGCAGGATCTTAGGAGAGGAGAATGGGGCCATTCCAAGGTCTTAGGGGTCCAGGTCAGAACACTGCCCCCAGCCACAGCTCTGGTCCCCATCACCCAGGTCACCAGATGCTGCCCCGGCTGTCTGGGCTCCTGGTTGTCATGACCAAGACTTTCTGCCCTTGGCCGGATCATGTGGGAAACTCTCCCCCATCCCCACTCTCAGACCCTGCCAGGTAGTCTAAGGACTACGACCTGCCAATGGCCCTCTTGGCCACCATGATTTAACACAGGACCTTTCTGCAAGAACTGCAAGAAGAAAAGAAGTCATGGGCTGCTGACTAGTAGCTCCTCTAGGAAGGGCAGGGAGCTAGACCTTGCCCAGCCTGGGTTCAAATCCCTCCTCTGAGTCAGAGTACAAAGCTGATTGGTGCTCCAAGCATTCTAGGCCCTCCCCTGGATGATCAAAGCCTTGGAAACCACCAGTGGTTTTCATCGCTTTCTGCTCTCCACGAATCCCCCACAGCTGCTTACAAGCCTTAGCTCTGCCTTAAGTCACTCTTTCCCTGAGATCAGCTGGGCTCCAGGATGTCTCTAGATGTGCAAGAAGCAAACAAAATATAGGCTGCACATGAGCAAAAACCGATAAAGTCCCCAGAGCTGGCCTGGCCCCTGGCCCCACCGAGGGACAGGCATGACCTCCAGCCTCACTGGCCTCTTCTGAAAAGTAAAGGCCCTGCTGTCCTTCCTTCCTCCTTTCCTCTTCTTATCCTTCTTTCTCTTTCTCTCCTTCCTTTTTTTTTTTTTTTGTCAGTTGTGGGGCCTGAACTCTGGGCCTCAGCGCTGTCCCTCAGCTCTTCAGCTCAAGGCGAGCACTCTACCACTTGAGCCACTGCGCCACTTCCGGTTTTCTGGTGGTTTATTGGAGATAAGAGTCTCATGGACTTTCCTGCCCGGGCTGGCTTTGAACTGCTCAGCTCTCAGCCTCCTGAATAGCTAGGATGACAGGCGTGAGCCACCGGCACCCAGTGTCAGAACCTGGCTTGCGATGGTCTTTTAAATGACAAGTTCAAGTCAAGTCCTAGGTCAGTGTCCCTTGTTTCCTCCTCTTGCAGCCCAAAGCTGGGTATGTGGCCCCGTGGGCAACCAGCACAGAACTGGGGTCTACACAGCCTTGACATAGGCAGCAATGGGGGTGACCTTCAGGAGGTCCTCTGGGT